AAATATTCGATTGAACAAATAGTAGTCGGCTGTCCGGTTTTATGACTCACCATTATTCGAACAAGAACTGTCACTGTCAGTACTGATGGCTATCAAGGACGTCATTTAAGTTAATTATAACTGGTTCGATTATCCGCTCTATGGAATGGTCCAATTGTTAGAACTTTTCCCCTTCTTTGACTACATGCCTTTTGCAATTCTGCCACGTGTCACCAGTTGCGCCCTTAATGGCCTCTTCCAAAAGAATACGATCATCCGTCATCTTAAAAGTAGTATTCTTACGCGCTACCTGGTTTTTTGTTTGAGCCCATATCAACTCGATTGGGTTGAATTCGCAGTGGTACGGAGGTAATCTCAAAACCAAAATCCTTTTTCCTTTGCTATTTCATCTACCACTAATTTCGTGTGCCTACCCTGGTGCTGAAGAACGATTTGCATCAACTCTGCTTTGAGCATCGATAGGTCGCATGGTATATTTTTTGACAATAGCCAATTATAAATTTCTAACTTTCTCCATTTTAAAATGGGAACATTTTCTGTACGTCGACTGATATGAAGTATTATCTAGGACAATCACAGAATCGGGTTCTAATTTTGGTAACACTGCTTTGAACCAATCTTCAAAAACTTTTGCGTTCATATCTTGATGTTAATCCGCAGTTCTTCGTGATTCGGAGACATGCAATCCTCCATTTACAAAGCCAGAATCGATATTAATATGAGTATAAATTAAACGATGCACTTAATCCGTCACGATACGTTTGTCTACGAGACGTGATGTTTACGTCTTGCCGATATTTAGAAACTGGGTGACCTTCATTCAACCAAGTCTCATCCAAATAATAAATCTTCTGTTTTCCTATTACGCGAATCCTACTTATTGTTTTCAGATATTCCCTGTGCCAGGTTATTATTCATCCCTTTCGTTTAATGCGCTATTCCTCATCTTCTTCAATTATCTGATATTTGTCGTAAAATTCTTAGCAGAACGCGCTGGGATATTTTTGGTAGACTGTCGTCGGCAAAATGTGTGACGATGTTGATGCGTCTTGAGGTGCCACTTGGATTTTAAGATTTGTACTATTGTTTGCCCTTCGCATTCAGCCATAGTAAACCGTAAAACGATAATGTCAGTGATGTTTTTTTTTTTAAATCACACTGTTGGTGTTATTGTGCACGTCTAACGACAGTATAGAGCTAAAGCCTGACTTTTGATAGATATCGCTTGAAAAATATGTCAAAAGTCAATTTCTTTATCAAGACTTAACCTGGTATCTGGTAACAGACTTTTTTCAAATTACGCGCACAAATCAAAATTATTTTTTTCGGGTCTTTGAAATATTTGCGGAATACTCAAAATGTGTCAATTAATTTTGAAACTTGTAATCGGTTGCTATTTTAGGTATTTCTATAATCCTCGCAAACATTTGCCTGTCAACTTATACCAACAAACGTCGTTTACTAAAACTTTTATGTACCACATAACTTACTTCACTTTATATGTATGAATGTTATGTATCTAATCATGGAGTAAATTAGATCACCTCTGCATTTTAAATTGTACCTATGCTTTTGATCACAGTTGGTTTAATGTACTATTTTCTTCTATATACCACATGATTTATAATTGGTCTAGGAGTGCCTCTAAAACCAGAATTCATTTGGAAAAGTGTATTTATAAGCGCGGCGGTATTTGTGCTTTGAAGGAGTATGTAGGAGGTGTTGTCAGGTTGTGTGTGGTATACTGGATTTGTGTGTTTTATTGGCATATTGTGTGTGGTATACTGGATTTGTGTGTTTTATACGCATATTGGCAAATCTCAATTAGATTAAAAATTTTATTTGTGTTATCAACATTGAATTGAAGTTTGAAAATGCATAATATGAATTTTACCAAATATAATAAAATATTACTCAAACAAACGGTCATTCCCAGCTTATACATAATACGACTCTTTTAGATTAATTTTATAGATTTCCAGATGCGCACGTGTCAGCAAAGCCTTGCTGTCAACAGTTTCTGTAATGAAATATATTTAGCCTCTCTTGCTGAACCACGACAATCAATCATGCCATAAGCGCCAGCCATGATACTATAACTCGAGATCGAGAGCGCCAGAGAAACTTTGCAGATTAGTGGCTACCTTCTCTGGCCGTAAGATATCCGTGGTAATTGATGGGTTCTCATCTTCATCCTTCAATGTCAACGCGGGTGCTCTCCAGGGATCGATCTTGGCTACAATATTCTATTACATAACAACGACTTCCTTTCCTGTACGATCAATAAGTTTCACAACTTTGCCGATGACAGCAGGAGTCCCAACCCGATCTCTACCGGAGAGCTGGAGAAAAGAAGACCAGCAGCTATTGCCTTTTTAATGAGAGACCTGAAGGTTATCACGCAACAATCTGATACAGTTTTATGCTTCCGAAACACAGTACTGTACCTTGGCTAACAAGACGCTCTCTAGAGCTTATCCCGTTTTGGCGGATGGCTTGTGTTCTACCAAAGAGCCATTCATTTCTGCTGGTCTGAGTCCAGATCACCGAGGAATTGACCTGGCACGAACACATCTCGTAAATCGCGGCAGCTGCCGGGAAAAGGCTAGGATATTTGTTCAGAGCTAAGAAGATCTTTTCTCCACCTAACCTCCTATGTACAATGCAAAGATAAGAGTATAGCTCACATGTTTGGGATGCTACCGCTCCAATTACATGATCTATGCTCGATACTGTTCAGAGGAGGGCTGTCCGACTGATCGATGACTCTTCTCTTGGGACTTTTTCGCACCGAAGAACCGTCGACGATCTGGCTTCCTTCTGCCGCTATGACAACGGGTTTTGCTCCTCGGAGCTCTCCTTCATGATGCCGCCGTGCAATGAAACTGCCAGACAGACCTACTTGATTTTGGCCTCTTATCCTAACTGAGAAAAACTTCGTATATCCGGAACTACCCGGTACGACCGCTCCTTTGTCGGTACAGTACGACTTGGTCTGAGGAGGTTTTTCCCAGTTCGACTAACTTTGGACAGTTCAAAAAAATCGGGTTAATAAAGAGTCTTTACGCTCCTTATAGCAGCGGTGTTTAGGCTTCTGCCTACGCCGCATTTGCCCCATTTACCTCGACTGCACATAGATATTAGCAAACCGCATGTCCATTAGCCGTAGCTGTTGTTTTAGCATAAAAATCACATTTTGGCGTTGGCTCGCATCACATTCTTCTAGCGACCGCCTGGACAACCTGTAATTATCTACTTCGTTATTTTTAATTAATATAGAGAATAATTAGGTGATCGTGATTACCCAGCGAGCGGTAAAAGTAAATTATAATCATAGCCATTGTTGCCGAGCTCGTGCCAAGCTGAGCTGTTCGAATAACTGTACAAGTGCAACTCTGCTATCCTCTATTTATACAAGGTAGTCTATAATAAATACGCAAAAATGATCTTTAATAAAAATAATTATATTAAGAAAAATATGCCTGATGGACGATAGAGGATTTTGTCATAATCACGTTTGTTGGATGCTCCCTTAAAGGCTGGTGTAGACACTCATGCAAATCGTACGTTTTGCTTGTCTTGAGTCGTTGTGGTGGTGCCCAATCGTCAGTTTTCATTGTCGGCTTTCGTCAATCGCTTAGCGTCAAGTAGGTTGACTCTGCACTTCTCACGGAACGCCGTCATCGGTTCATAAAGGTTTATATTTAAGTTAGTGCCTCTGAGAAAAAATCCAACTACGAACATGTTGTATAACAGGCCCATACCAGTTATATCCCTGCCCTACCGGTAGTACCGTCAATCTGGCAACGTCGTCCCACTCCTATACCTAACCGCACGATGCGTCAGACTCGGCAGTGCGGCACCGCCGCAGAAATGACAGCTACTTACAAAGACCGACACGGGTAGTACGTATCTTCGAAAGTGACAGTTCGTCGTTTTTTGACATTCCTTAGGTTTTTTGTAACAACGTAGGTTTTTCTACAAGATGTTAATGTAGCACAAGCTGTTGTACACTTGTTCTGAACTCGTTTTGTAGCTGTACGTGTTCCTCAAACGTCAGCGAACAGTGATTATAGCCAGCAAACGTGGAATGAACTATTTGCACACTAAAAACTACCTAGTCTGCAAGATGACATTTCGTTATTTTTTTGACGTTTTTTTTTATAGGTTTTTTACATAATACCCTTGCGGAACGCCCGCCGATGAACCCAGACAGCATAAGCCGAGACGCGTATCAAAGAAACCATTCTAAGTTATAAGCGATAATGTATAAAATCTACGATGTGTGAAATAGTGCGTAAAGTTACCGGGTTGGAAACGTATAAATATATGTACTAACATCAAAAAATTGAGATATACCCCCCCCGCCCCCTACAACTCCAACCTTCATTTTTTAACTCCTACAATTGTTTTCTGAAAATGATGAATGAACGTCAAATCAGAGGTTGATCGATTTTTTTCGTTTTTTGACCCGTAGCTCCGCCGCTACTGAACAGATTTGGAAAAGCATAGTGGTAACATTGTGTGAAAATTTCACCCAGATCCAAGAGGTACGTTATAGACGGGCCAAGGGTTAACGGACAAACAGACAAACAGATCGACGGACCGATATGGTTTTTCATGATGAGAATGTCATCTAACATCCAAAAAACTGTGAAAGTAAAATCAAATTCAGGTTGATTTTTGTCCATGTATCAATTTGCTTGCTCGCTACGAATTATTTTAGGTTCCCTTGTGTATTATTATCATGTGTGAGCCATCTTATATCTGAATGTTAATCACGTAGACACTCGATCCTTCCATAAATGTTTTCATATGGAAAACACTGCCTGATAAGGAAACTGCAAACATGCACATGGAATGGGTACTCATTGCTGAATGAGGTAAACGCAGTAATTGGCTGCTAAAAATAGAATCTGGCAAACATTGTGAGAAAATACTGATTTGATTACCATCAAAGTTATTGGGGTTTGGTTCAACAGATAGAGTCTAAGTGATAAGGAGATCAGTGTGAAAATAAATTGACAGAACAGTTTGTTTGAGTGCAATTTTTCAGCAATTTGGCCTTGCGGTTTATTTTTGGCTGTATTAGATAATTTTTCGTGGGAACAATTCATGTACGATTTTTTAACGATCATCGTTTATTGAGAAAGATGGATAGTATACAGGGTAATTCTATGTCGCTTTCACATCGCAGACTCAACTAAATATACCGATATGCCGATGAACTTTGCTCCTCTTTGTTTCTTTCAATGTGGCTGCTGGGCTCTAGACTTGCCAGATGAATCGCCAGGCTTCTCATTCTAGCTACGATTTGAGCAAGATATTGATACCGGGTCTTTGGGCTCTCACCATTGGGATCTCGTAAATGGTAAACGGTTAAATCGGGGGTACAGCTGCGCATTTAGGTAACTAAGAAAATGCCACTTAGAGAGCTTCGCGAATCAGAGTATTTCAGGAGAAAGACGCAGAAAATTGAATTTTTCGTAAATAGTTCTTATTTTTTTCCTAAATTATTGGTGGAATTTCATAATAAGTTGGACGTTAATGTCGCCACTTTTTGTTCTCTACAAGGTGGCAAAATTACAATTTAATTTTGACGAGTCGTCTCTTGCCCTCAATAATAAATTTATTTTTATTTATGGATATCATATTCGATTTGTCCACAGGTTAATAGAGTTTTTAATTCTAATTCCAAAAATGTATATAGCCATATATTGACATTGTCAAACTTGTTTTTTGAAAGAAACTGATATTAACAAGAGTCATTCTAGCACGATGGAGGCACTCTTCATTACACCTTAGCCTCATATTATTGTTTATATTCAGTATTTGAATGCGAGATGTGCGTATCGGTTTAGATATGGCGGATATGAAAGGTGCGACATTATATAGGCTTTTATTTACTCCAAAAGTGTCTACCAAGTACATAAAATAGTGCAGTTTTCAGTTTTACTCTTCAAATATTATGACAAACTTTATATATAAACCATGTTATAATATGTACAGTATCACGTCAATAAAATCGGAAATAGGGACAGTTCACCTATGCTTGGCTAATTATCTGATAATTTCAAGACCCACTTAGGAAATTCTGATTTTTCTTGAAATGACTAAGGTTTGGCAATGTAATTGAATGACAGTATACATTTTGGGAAACATTGGGAATCAATCAATTAAAAATTGTATTCACCTATGCAAAAATTCGCTATGGCTTAGATAAGAAAAAATAAATAATCTGAACTGAATGCTGGCAAATCTTGCTGCATTTTATTTGGGCCCAAAAATAATCGTGAAGTAAATCAAGATCGCATTAATATTATGGTGAATAATGAAGACATCATATCCTCTCCGGAAATATTATGATTTCCGACAATTTCTATGTTTTCGTAGTTGCCTAAATGCGCAACATTGCAACCGATTTCGTGTATGCATCTTACGGTTTCCGAGATCCCAATGACGAGAGTCGAATTTGAAATACCGGTATAATGCGTATATATTGTGCTTGAAATCTGATTTAGTTTCTTGTTTCTTTATACATGGATACTCATAATAAGCTTGGTATATAAAAGGCGAAGGTGTTCCATCTTCATGGATGAGGTATTATGACAAAACAGCTGATGTTATTTTTTTGTTGCAGTTCACGATGTTAGTGGGCTGGTAGACAACGTTGCAGAAAGCGACTCAGAAGACGAGTGGGATTACATCAAGGGAGAAGAGGCAAACCAAGAAAATAAACCACCGAGGACACATAAAGAGGTAAACGTCACCATGCTGGGGCTAGTCGTGATAGAAACAACGCTTGTCAGTTTGAATGAAGAAATAAACGTACTAACTTTCTGTTCAAGAATAACGAAAAATGTATGTTCAGCGGGCCATAAATGCCTATGCAGGCAGCGTCAAGCAAATAGAAGCGGGGATCTAGTGCTCATGTTTGTAACTTGTCTGGATTACAGATACGTTAGAACTTTCTATTTTCACTTCCCACGCCTATTGCCTACTGCCGAGGAAAGTATTCTAATCACCAAAAATTTAGATATGAGATACGTTTTCTGGGTGTTATGTGACCTATACACCACGAAAAACCATGCCACTCATTTCCGTCTGCTAATCCTTGGGCCGTCTATAACTTGGGAAATACCGGTCAGATTTTAATGCATTTTTTTCACAAGGTAAGGACGAAAAAGCTTCATAGTTTTTCAAAATCGGTGTAGTGGCGGCGGAGAAAAAACCTAAAAACGTCAAATATAAACGTGCAAACTTTTTTTTTTGATATTTCAAAGGATTCTGATCATTTTTGAAAATCTTTTTAGGGGTTGTAAGGGGGTGGGGAGGGTATATATTATTTATGTATATTTATACGTTCTCAACCTCGGTAATTCTACGCACTTATTATACATATTCCACACATCATAGATTTCCCCGTGCATTTGCTCTTAAAACTTGAGTGATTTAGAAATGCTTCTGAAGGTCTGATGCGTTGTGCGATCAAGTGTCGGCTCGAGGCGACGTTGTCAGACTGACTACGGTAGGGCAGGTCGACTAATTGTGTGGGTTCTGTTTGACTACTTGATTCATTTAATTTCTCTGTTATACACTTTCGTAACTAACTTTTTTTCTCAGAGTGTCTAACTTGTTCTGAACATAGTCCTGTTTCAACTGATGACGGCTTTGCGTGGGAAATGAAAAGTCAACCTATTTGGCGCTATTTTTTTCAGCAGTTTTGAGGAGACCTGTTTTCGTCAATAATACCTCTACATTCATTTTATTTTCTCTAATCCTGAATAATATTATTCTTTTTGTTATTATTAACAGTACAACAGTAGAAAAACAGTTCGATGATTCAATTGTGTAAATATTTTTTTCACGCAGATCGACGAGATTCCCGAAGGCGAGGGGTGCGAGGAAGAGCGCGCCTCACCGACCATCATCGCAGCTGAAACAGCTGCCGCTTGCGAAGCTGAGGCCATGTCACAGCTGAACCCGAACGCAGCTGAGTTTGTGCCGGTCTCCCCGCCGGCCACTTCGCCCGTTTCCCGTGCAGCTAGGCTAATGGAGGACGATATCATCGCGCAGTCGCCGAAGAGGCCCATGAACATGGACAGGGTCATTGACCTACAGCAATTCGAAAACGAGATCAAAAGCAGACCCAGCGAGTTGGATGATAGCTTCTGCTCAAATGGACATGAGGAGAATGTAAGTTTTTGTGTACTTTGACCATCATGCTTTCAGATTTCATTATATTTTCACCTGATATAATCGCAAAATCTACCCCGAAATGAGGATAATTGGCAACCACAGGTTCTAATGGAGACAGAAAGGCGCAGAATATACGAAGTGGGGCAGAAAAATGATGAGATCGGCAACGCTGCAAGCGATTTGGCAACGCCGCACTGTTGTTCTTAAAGCTATGTACAGATATGGAACAACACCGCTAACCGAACCACGCGACGAACCGCAGTGCGCGCATTTTCACGAGCATCACCACAAACCGAACCACGTCGTGCAACCACATCGCGCAACAAAATCATCCAATTTTGATGTTTGTCATTCAGTGAAATACCTCATTTTTTTTAATTTATTGTAATGCAGGGTATGTTTTGCATCCCACAACAATTCCCCTGCTCTGCAATGCTCTATAAGCAAAAGAGTTTTCTCCTCCGGCCATTCCATCTTTTCTTCACGGGCTCTATCCATTTACTGATATGAGCGCGTGCTCGCCGCACCTATATCCCTGTCCAAACATGTGCAACTTCGTCGCGACCCTTTCCTTTGATGTTACGCTGAAAAACCGACAGAGTCTGGATGGGGCCGAACGGCGAGCTGTACCCTTATCAGGTTCGCGACGGCGTTTTTTTTACCGTCTACACTAGCGCGGCGTGGTTCGTCGCGTGGTTTGGTTCGCGGTGTTGTTACATATCTGTACATAGCTTAATATTTCTCGTATGCAGTGCGCTTTTGCCAGTAATTATTGTCATTTGCCAGGAATGAGGAGACTTGCCAGGAATATCAACATTTTTCAATTTCTCAATGTTTGTATCCATAACAGTCGCAATATTCGAAGATTATACTATTCGCCAGTAAAATGGAACATGGAGCCGAGCTGACCACGGTCAGCACCACGCTGGGAGGCTGTCATCTCTTTCTTCATACTTATTCTGTGATCTGTGCATTAGTCTGTTTTTCTTGATTCGCTTCTCTCTTGTTGTCTTATGTTTTGTGCTCTGTTGTCGTCAGGCGGTTTTTCTACCAATTCTTTGTTTCCTATACCGTTTTTATATTTAACCCTGGAATACAAACCCTAATTTTCAATCCGTTAACCGTTAATACTAACCTTCGTAAAAATTACGACGCCACTCTTAAACTACCACACATCCAATGGATATCGAACTCTTTCTTCCACAGTACTGTGATTATACTGGCTTAACAAAAGCCCAGACAAGAGCCCACCGCAAATACAATACAATCGCCTGGATTTTTCAGTACGATTCCGAGACCAAAAGGCAGTCGAGAGTGCCGGTTCACTGCGACAAAAGAAATCTCGTATGAGCAAGTCCAAGATGAAATCAATCGTGATTTTGCTTTTCCACAAGAGGAGAATCGTCCACAAAGAATGTTTTCCTCCAGGACAAAATGTTAACCAAGTTTTTTATAATGGCGCACTTGATTGGCTCATAAAAAGAATTATTCGGATGACATTGCAGACAAGTGGATCCTTCATGATCACAACGCTCCAGACACATCGCCATCCCCGTCACAAAATGTTTGTCGTCACAAGGCATTCCTGTGGTTCCCCAGCACTTGTATCCTCTGATATCAGTTCCGTGTGACTTTCCTTTTTCCGAAACTGAGAAATGTCCTGAAAGGACATCATTTAAGGAGTTTAAAAAACATTCAAAAGAGTGTGTGACGAACAAGTTGAAAGCCGTACATTTCTAATGTACAACCACCGTAAGACATTTTGAATAAATCTGATCATGTGTTGGAAGCGCAAAACTCTTATACCATCGTATAAAAATGCGCGTTATACATAATCAGTTGTGCTAATCCAACTATTATGAGAATTAGTCAGTCCAAGGAATCCTACTGTTTATTTCCCTTCCGATGAAGAACTTATTCAACCAAGTATAGGTTACAAACTTGTGCTCTTTGTAGTACTTCAGCATAAAATCCTTTGATTGGCGTTCCTCGCAGGTCTTCTATTATGTATCCATCGAAGAAAGAGACTAAACCTAAACATATTCACGTATACTCCACATGATCGCGCTTCAGAACGTCGAGCACGTTACAGGGCCGTACTAAGAATAAATGATTTGTGGTTTTACGACACGATCAAAAAGTATGCAAAATTATTGCAGGCATGTATAAGGTCCAAACGTAAAGCTTGGAATTAATATATTTTTTTTAATTTAACTATCGTGACCAAAAAACAAGTGTCTGTTGTTGTTTTTAGTAGAAGTGTTTTATCAAGAAATTATACTCGAAATGTGTCGTAAGACGCATTTTTTTTTTTTTTTTTTTATACTCCAACTACCACGAAGGCCTAAGGCCTAAACACCCATTGGGTACCGTGGGGCTCTGTAATTACGGGATAATAACAAACTAATTAAACTAAATATTTAAAATGTCAATAAAGTAAAAAGTCCAATTAAAAATTTTTAATGTAAGTTTTCTCCATTAAACGATTTTGTTACATAACTTCACTTGTGGCTCCAATTACGCATAGCCACCACGTGTTTCTTGTGTAATTTTACAAAAATTGTACAAGCTTACTTGTCAACTGTACGTTGTATAGCCATCAATAGACTTGTTTCTGGCCTACGTACTCACTCGAACCAAAATACACCAGAATGTATAGGCAAAAAAATGAACGACCGATAGGCCGATAACTCCGATATATCGGCGTTTGATATAAAGGACCCTATGCATGGGGATCCCAATACATATGAAAAATACAGCCCAATTTAAATTAGGAAAAAGCTTTACATGCCAATGAGCAACTCATCGCTTACTGAGGTATTTAGGAAAAACTAAAATTTGGCCGTTTCTATTTTTTTTCAGACTATATTTTAAAGAATATCATTGGCACGACATGATGATGTTTTTGAATTTTGTGCACGTCTCGTTTTTGAGAAACCTTCAGCTTTATTTTTTATACAGGGTGCGCCATCTTTTATGTCAGTATGTAAACATGAAATAACTCTGAAAACGAAAATCTGATTTCTAATATATCGGATATTTTTATTAAATATGCTCGTTTACAATTTATTGGGGCTAGTTTTTGAACACAACATCTATCAAGTGGCCACCTTCATTGGCCAAAACAAAATGTGCCCGTTTTGCTGCGTTTTCCGTTACTTTTAAGAGCCCCTCTGGTGGTATAGCGGTGATTGCGGTAAGAATGTTTGCCTTGAGTTCTTTAGTGGTGTGGGGCTGGCTGGCGTATACTTGACTTTTCAAATAACCCCACAAGAAGATGTCCGGTGGGGTCAAATCTGTAGACCTGGGTAGCCAGTCGTTGTCACATCAGACGTCAAGGGAATTTTCGTTGCAGAAACTGTATTGTTTCATTTGCAGTGTGGCATGGCGCACCGTCTTGATGAAACCAGTAACCATCAAGACCTTTTTCACGCATTTTTGGGCAGACATAATAAGCCAACATCCACCGATATCGATTTCCATCGACTGTTTCGTTTTCATTGAAAAAAAATTGGCCCAATGATGGTTTTGGCGCAAACCGCGGCCCAAACAGTCACTTTCCGGTCATGCAACGGCATTTTGTGGATCTCATGCGGATTTTCCGTCCCCCAAATGCAACAGTTTTGCTTATTAACGCCGCGAGAGAGCGTGAAATGGACCTCGTCGGTCATCACAGTTTGCTTCCAAAAATCAGGTTCAGCATCAACCATGCAAGCGACTGTTTGGGCGTATTCTATGCGACGTGGACGGTCAGTTGGCAATATTTTTTGTGTTAACTGCACCTTATAAGGAAAAAAATGCAAATCATCCTTCAAAATGCGCCGCAACGGTTCGACTGATCGCCAAAATGCTGAGCGCGGCGACGATACGACACTTTTGGGTTCTGGGCGACGCTGTCTCTGACCGCTTCAACCAATTCATTGGAACGTCTACGTCGTTGACGCTCTCTCACTGTCCCGTACTCAAGAAAATTCGAAACCAAACGACGGATAGTGTTGTCAGACGGTGCCTGTTTGCCACGGTATTTTCGACGATATGCACGTTGCGTTAACACAACTGAACGACGATTTTCAATGTACATTGTGACTATTTCGGCGCGTTGTTTCGGTGTAAAGCGATTCATGACTAAAACTGTAGTAAATTGACGTTGCAGAAACACGTATAACCAAATAACTCGGAAAAAAGTACGTCCTAGGATCTAGTAGTTTCGCAATGGCATGCAAGCACGCTCCAAGGAACGCAACTTTTTCCAAATATAACCCAAGCTATATCTCGCACATGTACTGAGATCCCCATGCATAGGATCCTGATCTTAGACACCCTATAAATTTATCGTCCGATTATCCGTATTGGCCAAAATCCTACATCGGTTTATCTCCAATACGAAAACGCTCTCTTCAGAACCCGTCTTGTTCTACATACAGATTTTGATATCCGCATCAAATCCATAAAAAAGTATAGCTTGAAACCCAATACCAAATAAGATACCCGAAAAAGTACTCACTTTGCTGAAGTACCCCACAGTATGACATCCTTCACCATCAACCATTGTCATCACGTAGAACAGGAACGGCTCCACGTCGTAATATTTATTTATTTTTAAAGCAGGCTTTTAAAAAATATCTTGACACAAAAATAATTGCATATGCATATATCTTACCACCGCTTGAACAGGGACGTCAATGTGCTAAGAGTTAATTTGAATATTAGACTAAAAAATGAAAGAAAAAGGATTTGAATGCATAATAATATATACTAAATATTATACAAAAATTTATTGCAAAAACATTTTACCTATAGAACGGGAAAAATTAAAATCCTAGATCTAAGGCGGTGGAACTCCCACTGTCATCATGATTTATGATTAAAGGGGCAACGTTCTTATCAATGATACCGTCTAATTCCCACATTTGAGGTTCGACCCTTTCTTTTACGTGCTGAATACATTTTTTCCACTTATTCTGTCATTCTTTGTATAGCACCATGAAAAATATTTTCAAGGTCAGAAAATTTAAAACAGTTATTTTCTGCTGCAACATATTTTTTTGTCTGCCCAAATGAGCTCAACCGGATTGAGCTCACAATGGTAAGGAGGCAATCGTAAAACAGTTTTATTTTGTTTTTTGGCCGTTTCATCAATTAGGTTATATTTATTTTTATGCATCTGACAATTTGTAACAATTCTGCCTTAACCATTGTATCATCATAATCAAACTTTTTACTTTTAAGCCATCCTTGAATTTCTTATTTTTTTGTTGACGTTGTTGGAATTTTCTCGTGTGGTATGAATCATTATCTAATACTACTATAACCGAATTATCTTCATGCTGTGGTAGAGTATTTGAGACATATCCATCTTCATTACGGATGTGGCAAATTATTATCAATCGCTTCCCTTTTCCTATAAATAATTCATTTTGGACACTGGAAAACAGCTCCCATTGAAAGCATTATTAAAAACCCAACAAAATTATTACTTGACTTCTTATATCGATATAGTTCAAGCATGTACCAAAACAAAAATATAATATGATTCTAGTTGAAATTCCTCGTTTTACAAGTATCAAAAAATATGTAGGTGTCAGCGCAATCATACCAGAAATACGTACGGACGTGTTCTGAAATATTACCTAAAGGATTTTTTAATCCTGTGGATAGTTCATTCAAAAACGCTTGCTTTGAAGATTTTATGGAAGAGTCCATCCAAACCTTTGCCTGTGTATGCCCAGCGTTAACCTATGTTTCATCTAGGTCTAGGTAGTATATTTTGCTACCTTCTGCACGAAATTTTCTGATTTGTCTTAGATAGTCCCTTCTCCAGATAACTATATCGTCTTTTTCCAATAAAAGACTGTTTCTTCCCCGCTTTTTGTATTGATACCCCATTTCTTTTAACAATTTATGGAACGTAGATCTCTTGAAACTTGGCAAGTCATTATCCTCCTAAAAATTTAAAAAACTCAGTCCGGAGCGGAAAACCAATTCGGAATTTGTTTATAGAAATATTTAAACCTTTCTGTCGCAATTTTAGACCTGGCAACATGCAGATGCGTTGAAAGGGATTTCTATTCAATGAGATTAGGTAAATAAACCGAATCAGAATATTCTTCCGACCTTAGATACTTCCTGGACTAAATTTATTTAATTCTCCAGTAAAAAATGCAGTTAATGGCAACATCGCTGCCGTCTTAAGAAATCATAAACCGAAGGATCATCTGCTCATTTACCAAAATAAAAAACAATATTCCCCACCCAATCTGACTCACTACTGCCGCTAGTAACACCAATAAAATTATCGTAAAACGCGTTGGCGACGGTTATTTCGAATAATTGAAACCGCATAGAGTATTTACGATGAGATAGAGAAGGACCGAGCTATTATCTCACTGGTTCATTTGTCATCAGCTTGCAATCTAGTTGGTCATGACCGGTGAGAGATTAGATATATTTTCTGGAAACAAACGACAAACATCGTAAAGTCAGTTACTGTTAAATTATCTTTTGTGTTTGTGAGTTTGATTGTTTCAAAGGCTGAAAATGTTCACTTTGGTGAGTTATGCTGATGTCATTGTAAAAAGCTTATTTGGTACTAAGGACTTTATCGACTTTATCGTTTCTACAATTGTAGGACTCCTTTATGGCCTAGTTGATTTTCATAGTATTTTCTCTCCTTCAGAAAGGCAAGGTATTATCTCTAGATGTATATATACTGTTCCGTGTCGGCGTCAGGGGCTCTCCTATTGTGAGGCTACGTTTTCTTTTTGAATTGTAGGAAATGTCAGACTGATATAACAGATGGTATAAATCAAAAGTCTGAACAGTTTGATGTAAATAGATATTTGTAACATCACCTCAAAATAGAGCTCTGATACGAAACAGTAGAAAATTATGAAATTCAAGTATGCCATAAAGGCGTCCTGCAATTGTAGGAACGACTGGCGATACGACACTAAATGTCAAGGTGTATTATATAGAAACTCCGAGGCTGCCGGTAAAAAGCTTGGTTATTTTTCCAGGGCTAAGAAGTACTTTCATGCACAAGGCCCAGCCAAGACCTAGCCTCGAGTACTGCTCATATGTTTGGGGTGCTGCATCCGACTGATCATTGATACTTATCTAACGGATCGTCTCGGTCGGCGAATTTGTTCTCTTCTACTGCTCTGTCCACAGGCTTTGCTTTTCAGAGCTCTCCTCCATGATACCGCCGCGCGTCGCTTCTGCTAGTGGTATCTGCCAGGCTTCTGCTAGTAGTATCTGCCAGGCTTCTCCCTCCCATCCCAGCTCTGACGAACTTCCAAATCGAGAACTGGCCGGTACAACCGCTCCTTCGTTTCTAGGGGGTTGAAGTTCTTTATAGCAGTTACGGTGCCTCGGTATTTAGGTTTCTGCCTACGCGACTGCTTTAGTATCTTTAAAAAATCATTTTGTTACTAGATTCTTCCATAAGCAGGTCTGTATCATAATATTTCTAAAAAAACTGCGACCGGAGCAAACATTTTTTTTTAAATTTATTTAGACAAATTTACACCGACTTACCCACTCTTGATTTACGAAAAAAAAACCGATAAATTTCTCCAATGAATGCGAGGTTGCCCTGTCCAAAACATATTCAGTTTTTGAGACGACCGAACAATGCATGATTCTATCCATCTGTTTTTTATTTCTCTTTCTGCAAAGGAATGCTATTTTAATAGATATCGTTAGATTCAAAACCGTTAGCTGTAGTGTACATAATATATTTAAAATGAGAATATTCTCAACTGAATGACCTTTGATATAAATAGTGTACAGAATTATCGCTAACAACTTTCATTAGTCATATAATTACAAACTGGTTTAAAATTGGCCACATACTTTTATTTGCAAATCACATGAACATTCAAGCTATTGAACTTTATGATAATGTCGAAATGTTATCGCTAGGTTTGCATTGGGTATTTGTACAAAACATTCAAAGATATGCCAATCTATAAAAGCGAATACTTTTGCGTTTTAACACCGTCTTATTCCAGAATGCAATTTTACAGAATAAAAAATTGATAGCCAACCTAACACTGTATTCGCGCGACCGAAAAACTATCGGAGATGAAATGAGATACCATAGCGTTAATCTATGAGAAATTGTTATAGCCCTGCTTCTCTTCGCCACAATAACTAGAAATCTACTTTGAAAAGGTTAGTGTCTCATAGATGCCGCTGTAGCTATATGCTCTTAGATGGTTGACTACAGACGCTGACCTTTTCAAAGTAGATTCATAGTTATTGCGAAGAGGTGCTGTAACAAACTCTCATAATGACGCTACGTCGTGTCATTTCCTCTAGAATATTTTTTGGGTGCTCGAATATAGTATCAAGTGGGGTATCTTCAGTTAGAATGCGTTAATTAATTATATGATTTAGAAAATATAATTCCAATATTTCTAGCTTGTAAGTGGTTTTTATAAAACCATGTACACTAGAACTAGAAGCTTTAGGACTTTGGACTATTTTCTTAAAAGTCCCTTGAAAACCAGTTGATAATTTGATACGATGGTACAAATAACACTCCAAATGACATCTCCCAATTTTCAGGGTCATAACCTGTCCTCAAACCTCCTGAACGGCAAGAACATCGACGAGATCCCCGAGTTCCAGCCTGGCAGCACCCCGACCAAAAGCAAGCCGGATGAATTTCATTTCGGACCAAACGCAGCGCCTTTTACACCAAAACACCACGATCAGTCTGAGGCGATGTCCACTAAGGCTATTTTCGGCGATGATTCAGCACAAAATATAGGTAAGGTTTTTTGTCATGGTAGTAGGGGAGATTTAGGACATTACTTGAAGCTTTATACATGGGATTTCTAAGAATATAAAGAGAATGAACTAATTGCACCGGAAAAATTGGAACAAATTTATGAATGCCAGGTTGGTTGCACCGCCTTTCTCAAATCTACCACTTGAGATCCGAATGTTAATGCCAACCTCAAATTAAGTTTGTGTTGCACCACTTCAATTTGGTGATAACTACCTAAGATCAAGATACATCTGTAGTAACTTTTTAGAGAAATTACGACTGCGTCTACAAATTAGTAGGTTGAATTTGTTGTCTGTTTTCTTTTATACTAAACTTATACAAATATAAAGGCAAACTCAATGATTTAATCAAATACACAATATCTGTCAACTGGTACTACTACCTATGGATTGTTCTCGTCAGGTTAAAAATATTCTGAAATATTCGCATCTCTAAATGTACGGCAACGACATATCTTAACCAGTCAAGAGACCGGTAATAGTAATATAGTAGTTATTCTTTTTTCAGAAACTTCATTCACTAGTACCGAAGCAACGTCACCCGCGAAATCTCCATTGAAAAAAGAATCAGACGATCCTATGTCGATGTCTTTTTACGCTAATAGGAACGACCACAATCCTTTCGACCTCAACAAAGTGCAGATGTTGCCTGATAACCTCGATGAATTCCTTCATCAGTCTGATAACTCCGCTGAGAATGAGACTTCAGAACAGGTAATATGACCTTGTATACTGTGACTTTAAAAATACTTTATAAATTCCTAGTATATATACAACAATTGAGGACCTTTGTTCAAAAAGGTGTTCATTCAATTCAATTTTTTCGTATATCTATGCGGCCAAAGATGGCCCTCAGTTCTTAGAGACAGAGACTCATAAAAACTATATCAAAAACTTCAGTTTGTAAACTTTAAAAGGTGTTAACTCTTGCATTATAGGTAAAAAGGTGTTAACGCAAGAGTTAATTCAGTTTTCGTTTAAAATGTAAAAATGTTTTCGATGTAGGATCAAATGAGAAACATGTCGCAAAGTATAAAAAAGCTTTTGACGTGAAAAATCGAGGAATAGCAAAACAAAAAATCACATACGTCACATTTGATTTACTACAAAAAACGCTTCCCTTGCCGAAAATTTCTACAAGTAAAGCCTTCTATTTACGACAAGTATGCTACAATCTAGGAATACATTTGATATCAACACAGCAACTAAATGGTAAACGTTTTTTCGACGACTGGACAAAATACCAATGAAATCGCGGTCCTGAAGAGATTGGCAGCTCACTTACGGCCTTTTTGGAAAATATCAAGGACCAAGGCATGGCTTCCGATTCGGCAGGTGGCTAAAATAAAAAAAAGAATATATTGTTAGTCTATGGCACTACCTAATAATCTCTGGAATGTTAAAAAAATTGACCATAAGTTCCCTGAAGTAGGGCATACCTTTATGGACTCTGATAGATTTTGCAGCTGTAGAAAAGTCTATCAGAAAGCACCAACTAATGTATACGGTGGATCAATATATTTCAATCATGACAGAAGCCAGGAAAAAAGCATCTTTTAATATTACAAGAATGACGGTCAAATTTGAGGATATTAAAGAACGTCCAAGAAAACTTGGAATGGTCGATAGAAAAAACCACAACTAATGAGAAAGTTTCATTCAGAGATGTAAGATGGGATCCAGATTGAAAAATTGGTGTAACCAAGTACATACTCTTTTAATGAAACGGAAAATTGGACTATTGTTGATATAAGAAAATAGCGAAATCTTGATGGAACAGTAGAAAATGAATCGTTATTGTTGAACGTCGATAGAAGCCGACCTATTGGGGCCAAAAGTTTGATAATACTCGGGAACAAATTCCTTTAATACCATCAAATTTTAGAGGCTTTTATCAAAATTTAAGAAGAAGAAACGATTAGTTACAGTGTGTGGATTATTTGTTATTACTTGTGTGCGTTTGTAATGAGAAAAAAGAACAATTTTTACTTTTAATAAATAACATCATTGAATTAACACCTTTCTGCTACTTTTATTTTCCAGAACAAGCAAATAACAGTTTTTTAAAACGGTGTTAAGTCAGAATTTCAACAATCTTTTTAAAATTTCTGATATTAAAAACAATTTTTTTTATCAAAACTCTATTCAACATCTTTTTATATGCGACTAAAATGACCTTCAATAATAAAAACAGTCCTAACACTATTCAATAAAAAAAATGTCAATATTTAAACATTGCGGCCAATTATTTTCAAACTATAAAATCTGAGTTAACACCTTTTTGCACTAAAGGCTTCAATTGCAAACAATATTTTCTTGTTTTACAGAAGTCTGGAGACTTGGTAATGAACAACGATGATGCCCTGCAAACAACAGATCTGGACAAACACAGTTACGACGACGAGAAGGAGCTAGCGTCACCTTTGGAGCCTGAAAAGGAACTGTCGTGCCCTGATTTTAGGGACGATGGCGTCACACCAGAACCGACTAATGAAAATTTGTTGTGTGGAGACTTCTGTCAGGTATGGAGACCTTTTTAATAATGGAAAAAAAGTGTAAGAGTCTCGCCGTCATCCAGTTTACGTCTCTAATAGAGTGAGATCCCAGGGTTACCATACATCACTTATTTTATGAAAGACAAAACGTTGTGGAGTGAATAGCCTTTATATGTACATCTTTCTAACGCCTGCATACCTGCTTAATTGGATAGAGGTATTGGTACTAGGTGAGAAGTAAAAATAAGGTTAATTCAACTTAACTAGATACGAAGTCTCTTAAATGGTGGCAAAGTTGCATATTTAGGTAAAAAAAAAACACTTAGAAAGTTTCGAAGTCAAAGTACTTTGAGTCCATATGACAAATTAAAGTTGGTGATGGAAAGAAATCTCGAATTAAAATTTTACTACGCCACCTTGTAGAAGAAAATAAGTAACAATGACATCATGCAATTATTTTGAAATCCCATCTCAAGTAATATCAGGAAACAATAAAAATTATTTTGGGATAAATCTGGTATGTAAACAAATGACAACATGACAATTTCAAGGCATAGCTAGGAAATTCTGGCTTTTTGAAATAACTAAGGTTTCGAAATGTATGACCTATTATACATTTTGGGAATAAGAACTAAAAGCTCTATTTATCTGTGCAAAAATCCAATATGGCGTCCATAAGAAAAAATGAAGTTGATGTTGGAAGTCAAGAGACGAAACGTCGTATTGAAATTGTAGAGGAGAAAAATTGACTTTTTTGATGTACAATTTATTGTGAAATCCCACTAGTAATGAAGTCAAGAAAAAATTAAAACGATCTTAGGGTATATTTCGATTTGTGCTTGTACGAGTATTTTGAATTTTTAAACTTTTTAAGCAGCATATGTTTTGAATTCAGTTTGATCTTTAGAATAATTATTATGTAGTTTAAAGATGTTCAAAAGGATATTAAACGAATGTTTCATAAACAGTAAAAATTCTTACCTATGATGTATCTATAGACACTGCCGTTCATTCATGATTATACAATTGTTTATATAATGATAATTGAACCATAATGATTGATTATTTAAGTTGTCTAATTCGCGCCGACCATACATTTTTTGGAATATTGTTAAAGTTAGGTTATTTGTATATAAAGAGGGTCTCTTTAGAGAAATGAAATTCTCCCATTCTATAAGAATCTCATGGATGAAAAATCGATTTTAAGATCATGCCATAAGATGTACATTTTAATTTGTTCCCAAAAAAAAAATACCTCATCGTTTTTATTTTTTGATTTCCATGTCAGTACCAAATACGTGTTTCTTTTTTATCTGATTTTGGATAGATACACAGAACTGGTAGAACTTTGTAGGAAAATACAATAATAAGTAATCATTGTCTAATTTCATGTTTCATTTTGCAATTTTATAATACATTTGCACATTGTATTATGGAACGTGTTCAATAATATATTAATAACCAGGATACAGGGGAGAAGAATCACCAAGTAGAAAGTGGTCGTGGTTCTCTTCCCTGGGGAATATCAAATTCTGACATGTTGACAAAGTCTACTCTATTACCATTACCTACTGACTAATATACACAAGATACATGGATCACTTATGTAGGGCTTTTTTTCAAGATGCTCAGAACGCTGTTAAACGTCTTTACTCTCGTCCTCAGTGAGTTTAATGTGACTTGAAGTCCTGTTTCTTTGGCCTGCATAACTTTTTTCATTACGCGAAATTTGTTTTCGCTCTTACAGGTGAGGAAAAATCCCTATTGGCTTTTTCCAAATAAAAACCACATCCGTCAGAATCATTGTTTGTCAAAGTTGAGTGTTCTCTCAATTGAGTGTCCATATCCAGTTTGAAATCAAAACCCCATAGTATGTTATATCAAATTGCTTTGTTTGGAAAAGCCCATCCTAATATGCAATAAAATGTAGAGCATTATATATAAAAATGTATGTTTGGGTTATCACATAACATTTATTGTATTCAACTTTTTTAGATACCATCTGTAATAACTGAGTTGTCAACCAAGAAATTGAACAAAATAAGAAAACCATGCTTCAAAGCTTAGTGCATTAGTCAGGTAAAATTTCAGTCATTGGGGTAATCTTGCAAAGCAGCTTTTCCTAAAATAGGAAACCTCATAACTCTAGGCAGGCAAAACTAAATTCTTGTTTAAAATCATGCAGCTCTAAGATAACATTGTTAAATTATTATTGTCACTATTTATATTTTTTATCACTAATGACTATTGTAATATTACCTGACGCTCTTTGTGAGATCACAGGCAGAATGGGCAGGAATTAGAACAGCATTGAATCTCAGGTGCCTAACTCCATCAGCCATTAAACTTTCTTGAAAGTGCTTTGATCCAGACGCCATATTTTGGGTGATGATGATCTTTCTCGAACCCCTAAAGTGGTACCCATATGGATCTTCTTGTCGGTCCTCTAGGCATCCTAAAAGAGTAACGGAAGTGCTGTAAATCTTGAGCTAACATTAAAATATATATTTTAGTTTACGATATTTGCTCGATTAATTTTTCAGATTATACTAGCTGCTAGAGTATCGCACTTTTTTACGCGTATTTATTCGGTGTCAGTCTGGGTTAACATTTAAAATATCTTATATATCAACGATCTACGCCAACAAACGTTTGTTTTTCCACCTGTGAATGATGGCAAGTGCGTAAAATACCATAACTAGGATATTCGAATGTCTGAAATGGAGATTTTGAAAACAGATATGCCTGTCTGTCTCTTTATCGTCGGTGGCCAGCCCTGCAATCTTGGGTATTGAGAACGAAGTTAATGTTGTGATGCAACATTGAATGATCTGAAAAACCTGGAAACATATTATTTTTCCGAAAGGCAAGCTTTTACAAACCTATTTGATAAACCTCAAAAGCTGCCAGAAAAAAACTCAAAAGGTAACATAATAGAACTATGCTTTTTATTCGTTATTTTGCTCCCTTGTTTTTCAAGAATCTGCCTCTCGGATGAATTATCGTCTAGAGCAATCCGTGGAATTTAACAGGTTGACTGCCATGAAAAATCGTGGTAAATGTCTCTGGTGCGAACTTCAAAAAAGTGAAGCTTCTTGCATCAGACGCTATACTAAATAATTGATTTTCCGTATATTTTTTATTAGCATACATATTGGCAAAAATAAGTCAGCGGTCGTATACGCCCGCCGCGGCATAACGCATTATCATTTCCTTGATGCCAAGCGGTCGTCCTAGCGGTCGTCTTTCGTGAGTTTGAACTTGTGAACTTCGGGTCAGAAACATGGAAGAAAAATGCTTTGCAATTAGGTTAGTTTGTTTTTGTCGGTCGTAGCGTTCAATGGAATTCGAAAATAACAGAGTTCCGGGAGCAACTGCTATTATCACTTCTGAATTACGATAACACCAATCTACCGAAATCCTGACCACAGCAGATCTCAATAGCCTCAAAAAGACATCATTCTATATCGAAGAAAATAGGCGCCTTCGAGATAAAGTGAAAAAATACTGCAGAGGTTGCTATGCTAAGAAAGTGCAACGGGAAATTCCAAAAAGCAGGATGAAAAAAGTCGTTACCTACGGTGCATTATGAGAAGGTGAACCACACTTTTGTTTAGACTGTTTCAACATACACTTATTAAAATAATATTCAGGCGCCTTATGTAAATAGAGTTATTCATTAGCCTTGTTTTGTACTAAATTTTTCTGGGTTCCATGTTGCATATGTTTTTATATATATATTTTTCAATAAAAGTTGAAAAACGACTTCAGACATTATTTTCACTTTCCCTTGTAAGCACACCAAAAACCGCTAACATAAGCTAGGCGTCTATGCCACAGCGGTCTTCTGCCATAATAATTATGTCTATCAACGACCTGTTAAGATTCAACCTGTTAAGATTCAGAAATTTGAAATTGATCTTGAAATCTCAAATTTTAAAATATACTTCTTAAATTTGTACTATTTGATTTTGTTCATAGTGCGAGCCGCGAATTACACAACAAAGCGTTGCTGTTTGATTACTATGACAGATAGGTAGATAAATATGCCTCAACCTCGCCGAATCTTATTTCGTCAGTTCTAATCAACTGAGCCTCCCACTTTTATTCTTTCCAGCTCTCCGAAAAGTCGAAAACGCCAGAACCTCTTCCCAGAGACGTAGAACTGATCTCGCCGGATTCTGCTCATGAATCACCACAGTCAAGACCAGAAAGTATACCTCCAGATGTTGAGCTACTATCGCCACAACCACAAGAACAGGTAAGTTTCTGTACTTTTTTTTGCCATATTAGACCATTGATTAACGTACTCCACCGGAAGATATCCAATTCAGTTGAGGGCCGCGATTGTGCGAGAACGGGTATATAATAATTACTCAACCAAACCTGCGGTTCTGCTTGCGTGGAAATAAAGTATAGGTGATTCGTCTTGCATTATTCTGAAGGAGATTGGTTTCGGAGAAAGAAATACAATATTTAAAGTAATGCAATTTTTCGGCAAGTAACATTTTTTATCCAGCATTTTAATGCAACAATAACTTAATAACAATGTTTCGCTTTTTTATATTTCCTACAAAAAGTAAAGAGTTTGCTTGCAAATTTATTTGATCCTAAAATGGCCTCGAAGATGGTCTGGCTTATTGGCAAGTATATACTTGAGCTTAAAGTTGTTCGCAATTTGCATTTCACGAATTTAACATAGATCTTGCGGCTAAAAATTCATTTGATCTTCAAATGATCTCAATGGTCATAGTCATTTTTATGGGCTTACTTGAACATACAGTTTCTTGCTCTCTTTATTTCCGATGTTAAAATATGGATTTCCTTTTAAGAAAACTGCCTTGACTTTCAAATGAGCTTGTCGGCCATAGTCAAGTTCACATTCCACCATTAGATGAGCCTTTTCAAACCTTACAGCTTTATTACACAGCATTTTTCTTTATAAAACGTATTTTTAGATATATTTTGTCATTTCTCTACTTCACACCATCAAATACCCATGATGAAGTACGGGAAGCGCTTAGCACAAACGAACAACCGACGGATTTCCCTAATTAAAGGAAACATGACATTTCACCACCTTACATCATCAGACACATTTTACACAACTATTCGGCAGAAGACGGGATGAAAAATTCCTTACACAGGTTAGGTGATAAAATCCTCACACTTGCCAAACCTCACTTCATACTCAACACACTCAAAATTGACATTATTTCTCCCACCTCTTCCTTAATTTTCAATCTATGCAACTCGTACACTATAACACTATTTCACAATATCAAAAGTTCTAATATTCGCAAGTTTGACAGATTGTTAAATGACTCTGTGAGAACCTTGCTTAACAACACTCTGCCAAATTGGATAGAGAATCTTAGTAGTGTTGACATTATATATACGAGCCCCTTCCCACTTCAGTTGGCCCACTTCAAGATTTGTACCAAAATATGCCTTTATAAACTAAACATGACGAAACTATTTACTTCTAAAACAATTTATTTTCTCAAAAACATTTTAGATACACTCTAGTCGTAAAAAATACATATTTGAAATCACTTAGACCTATAACTAATAGAACATCTAAACAAATAAACAATGTGCGAATAAATGCGCGAAGTTAACAAAGCAACAATTGAAAGATTACCATTGGGTAACATCACCTTTATTTTTTATTACGGCTGCAATTCTTTGCGGCATAGTGTTAACCAAGTTTTAGCAAAAATTTGGTGTAAAACAATCCCATAATTCTTGTTCGGTGATTGTACGAGCAGGACGTTGTCGTAGAACCTTTTTCATCTCGTGCCACAAAGTTTCAATAGGTGACAGATCTGCTAGAAACCCATTTCAAAAGTGGTACATTATTTTCTTCCATCCATTTTATAGCCTTTTTTGAGGTGTGGCACGCTGCACCATCTTGCTGAAACACAAAATCTTGGCCGGATGTCAAACATTGTTCCATCACTGGTAAAAGCGATTCTTCTAAAATTGCCAAATATTTGTTTGTATCCACATTTCCATCAATAAAATGAAGTTTTCCTACTCCTTTTGATGCCATACTGTCCCAGATCATAATGGATGCTGGCAATTTCACTTTTCTCTTCAGACAGTCAACATGGAATGTTTCATTTTTTTTTGCGAATAACTCTACTGCGACTGTCACCAACACAAACTTCGAATCGGTCCCCATCACTCCATTGTATTGCACACCATTGTTGAGGTGTCCATTGTCTATGGTCTTTAGCCCATCTAAGCCGATTTTTCTTTTGCAGTGGAGTTAATAGTGGATTTTCTTTGGCCTATAAACAAGTTGTGCAACTTTAGGGTTTTTACTTCACTTTTTTTTTATAAGAAAACTTACCTTGCAAGTGCTAAATTCCAGTTTGTGGGCCTCTCTATGAGTTGTGGACCTCGAAATTCTCCTTCCAACAGCGTCACTCCACAGAGCACTTAATTGTAAATAATTGGCACGCCTGTTTTTCACGATTATTCTTCTTAATGCTCTTCGGTCGGCATTTGTGATATTACTTTTTTCACATATCGTGGCTTAATATTAACTGAACCAGTTACGTTATATCTTCTAACAATATTTCTCACACTGTACCGCGATAAGTCTAACAAAGTTGCAATTTCTGAGTTTGATTTCCCAGAATAAAAAAAATTAATTATCAGTAACCGAATTTTCTCACAAATAACCTTTCCTCTACAAATTTTGAAAACCTTAACTACCCAAAACTATTTTAAATGTATTCTGATAGCTGTGATTAATAAAAACAATTGTCATGGCTTTTATTTTTTACAGCTACCTATGCGTTATAGACTTATTTTGCATTGAAATGAAAATAGGTTGATATGCTGTAATTGCAACATGTGTTATTTTTATGCTGCAAATTTGATCAGGGTGTGATAAAGTTGATGTTTTCTACTAGGTATATATTATCAAAATATTCATTGTTAATATTTTAAACCTATAACACCCTTCTTCATTTTTATTATTTGTGTTTGATAAGAAAAAAACTAAGATTTCAATGGTTGGGCCAACTGAGGTGGGAAGGGGTTCGTATATATATAACATGAGACATGGTCATTGTCGTCTAGACCAGTTAGGTGAAAAAATAAAGCTTCCGCCTTTGTAGTTGGGTACTTCGACAAGATTAAAGCGATGATGACTCTTCATATTTTATTAGTCTCTTGCTTTCGACGCGTTATACCATCATCATCAGGAACTACAATAATAATTCGGAAGAAATAGCAACTATTGTGTAAAATGATTTTAAATTACTTACAATAGTATGTGAGATTGTTGCTAAATGTTATTAAAGGTTAAGTTGAGGGAAATATTTAGTAACCTGGTGAAAGCTGGATTCATGGTACATTCGTTAAAATTGGTAAAAAACACACACAGCTGTATGTCAGGAACACATCACAACAGATTAAAAATGTTTGGAATGAAAGTTAAAATTATTATCGTGAAACAACCACTAGATGCTGCATATATATATATATATATATATATATATATATTTCTGAAAATACAATAATTAGTGGCAAAAAATAGGAGGATCAAGCGGGGTTTTCGGTCCTGAAAATAACTCAAATTTTAAGTTGGTCGCATTTATGAAATTTTTGTGTTTAAATATTGTGCATATGTGTTTTAAACGTTCGTTATTTTTATTTTTATTTAAGTACTTGTTTGTTCGTTAAATATCCAAGGTTTGCAATTTAGGCACTTTTGTCTAAAGTTTACCCATTTTTTTATTTCGATAAAATATGATCTATGTGAGCACGTGGTTGCAACATTTTTTACTTGGAATAATAAAAAACACTAAGAAATATATCTAAAAATAAAAGTGTTGTGTTACCGCGCTCACAATAAAAACGAAAATTGAAGTCTCTGTTGTTTTTATTGTGAGCGCAGCGGAACAACACCTTCATTTTTATGTGTCATCAATCTTTGTAGGTTTTATTGTAGACCATGCACTCATAAAAATACTCGAGCGGCTGGGGGTTGTTAAGGACATGCATTACAACAATGTCATTTTTACAGATTCCACAAAGTGCCACAGAAGTAGCAGATTTACTCGGCGGTTTCGACACTGAACAACAGCAAGACTTACTTTGCGAAAGGCCACAGTCCAACTCACCAATGTGCGAGAAGCCAATGTCGGAATCTCCAATGTGCGAGAGGCCAATGTCTGAATCCCCAATGTGCGAGAGGCCAATGTCTGAATCCCCACTGTGCGACAAGCTTGAAACCCAATCATCAGTATGTGAGAGACCAGAGTCCAAGTCCCCTGTTTGCGAAAGGCTGACATCTCCAGATTTTGAGGAGAGGGAAACTAAGGAAGAAGAAATGAAACAGGTGGAAATAGAACCAGAAGAACCCCAGAAAGAGAAAGAAGAGGAAGATGTGCAGGCAACAATCGTTATTGGAGCGCAGGATGTTATCGAAATTGAAGTAAGCATACTATACGGCGAATTTATAAAAGATTTTTCAGTTACCATCATTGCGCCCTAAGCCGCCAGAACATTTTTCAACCAGTACTGCAGAACTTGATTTATTTACATTCCTTATAAATAGAATAAAATGAAATAGTATTTTGCATTATCACTTATCAGATATAGGTCAACGATATTTACGCAATGTCAAAAAAATCAACGACTGAAGCTACAATGTCTAACAACTTCCACGGGTCGGATGAAAATGAGTCTATACGAAATATCATATATAAAAAAGTGCCGGGGATAGGGTTCCTGAACTATCTGTAATTAAATACTGAGAAGAGTAATGGATAATTTTAGCACAAAAACTGACAATAAGAATCTCTCTATGAAGCAACGTTTCTGACATATTGGGGCGAGAAGTTGGATTAATAAAGTGCGTTCGTTTTTCTATAATGAAGCTCGGTTAATATGCGGTGGTTTATGTATATTTATGGTCTCTGTATGTCCAACGAACTTCTTTGATCTTCATTGATTAACGTAATCTTACCTTAAAAAATAAATTTTGACATCTACTTTGAAGAGTTCGAATGTTTGGTTCTGCTTTTGTTTCATAGGTGGCGCTAGGATCTTCGATCCACTTTTGGCGCCTCTGTAACGCTTTTTTTTTGATAAGGTATCTTCAGGCGGAATACGTTAATCAATGCCTGAAGATACCCAATTAAGATAGGTATTAGAGAGCGCCAAATAGGGCTTGCAGAGTGCCATCTAAGAGAGCTTAGCAGAATCTAATACTCTAACTCTTACCAAAGTATATTCTACAGAAGGCCTAGCAGAAAACTTACATTCAAAAAAATCAGTAGTATCGACCAATTAGAGTTCTTTTAGTTATCTGTTCTTGGGAACTAATTGTGGAGACCAGAATTCCATCACTCGGTGTATCGTGACCCAAAAGCAACATGGAACTCATAAAAGCAAACAAAAAACTAGTAAAATTCAGACTAAATGTGTTTGGATGAACCCCTGTAAGGATATTCAACCAAATTGGATCAAGGTCCACAGAATAACTAGAAAGACAATTGTTTAATTTTATATAGGCTGACTCCTTTACTCCTTTTGTACTGATCGTCTTTATGTAGTATTGAGACTTCCTCACATTTTCCCTATGCCCTATTGCCCTTACATACACACGCCAAGGGCCGATTTTGAGGTTTTTCTAATGGTTATATATATGTATATAGCCTTTACGTTCTTTAATTTTTTAACTGGTATTGATTTCTCACCGATGCAGTTTTACCGAAGCCACAGTCTTATTTTATGTATTGAATTTTTTTGTCTATATTTTCATTAGTAGGTTTTGTGTACCGATTTATTTCTGATCTTTAATACGATGTATTGCATTTATATATTGTCGATTTTTTCTATAGTATTTATCAATCCCATAAAATAGACCATTTGTTTTTACTAATTTATTACATATAATATATTTTATGGTATATCAATGTATTTGTGGGTTATAATTAGTGTGAATAAATATTATTATATATCAGAAAGTCTGTTCAGTGAGGATCCTGTACCAATAGGGAATATCAAAGTTTCGTAACTGTTTTGTAATCGTTCTCTGACATCGCACAAATCTCCCTATATACAACCCATATTGCTCTTCAAATGGTTACCGATTTTATCATTATGTGACCTACATCTGTATCACCTGTTGTGTCCAGTTGTCATAGCTTCTATGATACAAACAAATATAGACAAAGGAAGATATCTCTGTCAGATAATCTACCTGTATGAAAAACGACGCAATATTTTATATATTGGAAAAGTATGGCGATGCTTAAAGTGTCTTCAAAGATGTTCACCTGGATGAAACGGCATAGTAAAAGGCACAAGATGAGGCCTTGTTCTATACAAATGGTTGCTTTGGTAAATATAATTTGTATTTTTGCTCCAGGTCTCACGAAACAAAACCGTTGGTCTATTAATTTTTGCACGATATCAATTATTTTCAGTCGCTCGTTTAATGGGTGAGGTACTTCCTTCTGAAGCATAAATAATCAAATATGGCGGGTTGTATCTATTAAACAAATCATCATCCTTTTGAAAAATATTTTTTCAATTGCACCATTTTGGAATTCCAGTTTTCGATAAATCGTCTCTACTTTCCGAGCGGCATTTGGTAAATTATTTACGGGAGTATTGATGATTCTTAATCCCTCAGTCTCATCCATGAAGACATGGTCCTAAAGGAAAAGTCTAGACGTGTGAAATCACACGATCTATGCAGCTAACTTATCGGTCCGGAAACGAGAAATTGATTGCTCGCCGAATTGTCGCAGTAGATCAATGGTTTCACTTGCTGTGCCGCCGTCTTGTTGAAATCAAATCTTCTGAAGATCATGGTTTCGAATTTCAGGGAACAGTGTGTTTTGATGGCACCAAATGCCAATCGACATTCTCGAACGCGTCATCGAAAATTGGAAATCAAAAACACAGAAAATTTGGAAGAAGTGATCTTCGAAAATTAAAAGTCAATAATGCTTTTTCTTCGCAGCATAAGGACCATCGATAGAAGTTGATGCGTTTTTATATTAAATCGCCCGTTATAAAAGAATAAAAAAATACTTGTTTACGAAGAGTGGCTCATGTTTATTTTTTTTATTTGTAGGAAGAACCATCTGAATATATTCCATCTCCTGCAGCTGAACCTGTAGATATGGAACCTCAAGTTATAGAACCTGTGCAGGATCTTTGCCCGCTAGAAAAGCCCAGTGTAAACACAGAGGTAATAATGTCTAACATCATAATGTGATTACAATAAGTAGCTAAGTCTGATTCAGCAAACTTTGCCAAATGACAAGCGATTTTCAAGAACATACTGTCTATTTTTTACACCGTTAATCTTACAAAAAAAGGAAATTTGAGGATTCTATTTATACTGGGATTATTTCTTGGAAGTTGATGGAGGCACATTTTTACATTTATCATATACTCAGTGACATTAGAAGTGTTACACCCATAAAACATAATTTCAACTTGTTCTTTTTGGCAACATAATGGCTACATATCAAGCATGCTGTAGCAACAATGTCAACGTTTTATCTGTCTTTTTGTTTACCTTTGTTAAAATATTATCTCTTACTTTTTGCGAAGAAAGCTGTTTCTGAGAGCTGAGTAGTACAGATATTTTTAGTTATTGCCCTTTCATTTACTAGTGTTAAGCTTAACGAAATGCCTCGAGTTCGAAGACGTCCAAATTATCACCATGTTAGCGACTTTGACAGGTGTAGAATTATTGCCTATCGAGATGTTGGTTTGACCAATTTGACCGCCGTGTTAATTGTATTGCAATGACGGTAATCCGTGTGTGTCGTGTGTAGATAGAAGGAGGTAAAGGAATACGAAAGTCAACTAGTCCACCGAGGCATACCACAGAACGTCAAGATAGGCGCTTCAGACAACTAGCTCTACGAAACCGTTTTGGTACTACGCGTCAGATCGCTGGCCAATGGTTTGGAGAAGAAGGTTGCTATGCATATACTCGATCCCAGCATTCGACCCTTGGACCTTTTTCATACTGTCCACGGTTAGAGCTTCCTCTGACTGAGCAGAAGGGTAAGACGTGACCATGGAGAACGGCTTGATATTGGATTTGCTGTTCATAGGCATGTACACAGGACTGGTGGAGTAATGGTTTCGAGGGCTATTGTCTATGGTAGCCGGTAGGCAATATGCCTGCTGCGCGGTATGTTGATGATGTCCTACAAACCACTTTACTGCCGAATCTAGAGGGCCGTCCATACGTCCTTTTTCAGAAAGACAACGCACGCGTCCATATTGCTCGTCATACTACTGACTTTCTTCAAGAAGCCGGCGTTCATGCTTTGCCGTGGCCACCCCATTCACCGGATTTCAATCCTATCGAACATGTGTGAGATATGATGGGGAGGAGACTATCCACTTTGCACCATCCGCCACAGACTCTGCCACACCTAATCCACGAAGTTCGAGTTGCTTGTAATGAGGTGCCACAACCAGACATCGATCATCTCATTTTATCGATGCCTAGACAGGAGTGTATTCAGCTGCGGGGTTTTGATGTAAGCCTACCTCATTGCCAAAAAAACAAGTTGAAGAAATTATTTTTTCTGGGTGTAATACTTCTAATGTCACTGAGTATACAGGGTGACTTTGAAGTTGAGTCATTAATTTTCAGATAATGATTGTAGAAGGAAGATAAACCAAAATATGTGTGTAAAAATAAAAAAAAAATAAAAAAAAATTTTTACCTTGTTTTATAAAGTATCCTCCCGACAAGTATTTCAGTGCGGACCTGTATTTGATCGTGAGGTCCCCTCTGAGGTCTTAAGTCACCTGATTCACGAGCCCGTTGTACTACACTAACAAAGGCACGAGGGGTTGGTTGCACTCGATTGGGAAACCGATCCGCATAAACATGTGCCATTTTTTATTTCGTTTAAGCCACGCAACAGATACCACCATTCACTGTCACTGACTGTATACAAATGAATGAGATACTTGTAAAAAGATCGTTCCAAATTCTTTCGCTTTTTTGTTTCCGATGCGATGAACCGATACGGCGGATTATATCCGTTGTCGCCAAACACGACCACATAATATTGTTATTGAGACAGGGCGGTACTCAAACTTCCAAAGGGCTATAACTTTGTTACTTTAATTTTACCAGGAAAATGGTAAAGGAAAAAAACATTTCTTTTGATCAGATCTACTCACTGTTAAAATAAATGACTCAACTTCGAAGTCACCCTGTATAATGTTTTTGTGATTTGCAGGTATTTGAGCTTGGAGACGTACAGGACAATAAAGAGACAGATCTGGACAAACCTGTAGGCGAAGTTGAGGTCAGAATGGAGAATATAAGTCCGCAGTTTGCTGAACAGGCATTCGTGATGACTCCTTCTGAAGAAAGCAAACAAGAAGATGTTCCTACAGGTCAGTAGACATCATAATAATTTTCTCTGTTCTAATATTTTTACCTGATTGCCTCAGAGGGAGGGTTATGTTTTTCGCGCGGGTGTATCCATATGTGTATGTAAACAAGAATAATTTTAATTCGCAGTTCCATCAGTTTGTTGTATTTTCACGTGTGCGAGGTGTTGTTAAAATTATAACCTCAGCTCGAATAACACTGGGCATATTAACATTTTATTAAATCAGAATTTAATCGAAAATTTCAGCTTTGAAGTTTATTCTACAGGTTCCATCTTAAACGGCATCATACATTTTGACATACTACATACTCACAGATTATACAGATGCGTCAGATCGCTTTTTTTTCGAACCACTTCTTAAACTAGGCATGTATTATTTTTTTTATTGCAGCGCCTCTGGTAGAGGCGACTGTACCGGAACTCCTAGCAGCCCCCGCTGCTGTTCCTCCCTTAACCTCCGAACCTTCCGCACCTGCAGAACCCACTGCAGCTGAAACAGCTGCTGTAGCCGCAGCTGGCGTTGCGGCGGCGGCAACAGTTGCAGTGGCGGCAGCCGCAGTAGCTGCCAAACCAGCAGCTGAGGATAAGAAAAGGACTCCCGTAGCAGCAAAGAAGGTGCCAGCTACGAAGACAGCTTCACCATCACCGAGAGTGGGTGCTAAACCTGCAGCTGGAGCAGCTGCTAAGGCTAAGACCACACCTGTTGCGGCGAAAACGTCGCCCGCAAAGACAGCGTAAGTAGCAAGGGAATGTGTTTTCCGAAAAGTTGCCGAACTTGTGTCCTAAAAAGTCTGCTTTTTAAGGTTTATAAAAGTTTTTACCAATATCTCAAACATCCTTGTACCGATTTTGTTGAGTTTTAGCAGTGCTGTTCATTGTAATATGACGCTACACGAGAAACAAATGTTCGCCACTTTTAAAAAATAGGAACTGTTTTCTTCAGATGAAGCCGATAACTATTTGCCTCTTGGAATTTTTTCCGTCGTTTTTAGATAGAAAAATATAACTTCAATTACATTTCGAAAAAATGTTACAATAAAATCAAGTCAACTTTGTTCGTGGCTAGGAAATGTTTTCTTGTTAAGAATTTTTTTTTAAATTTGCGTGACAGTGCTAAGCTGCTAATAAACCATTTTTTTTAACTTTGGAAATCATACTTTTTAGGGCGCATGTTTATATGAACTTCCCTTCTTTAATTTCGTTCAAAAATGGGCACTTGTCAGTAGGTACCGCCCTGTTTAATATGGATGAATAGAAAAAGGACATTAATGAAAAAAGGTGCTTTGTCTGTTTCAGGACCACCGCAAAATCGTCAGTATCACCAGCAGCGTCAAAACCAGCGGCAGCTACTAGAATGCCTGCATCCAAACCAAAAACTATTCCTGTTCCCAAACCAGCTGAAAGGAAACCTTCTACAAACGGAGACGTCAAGCAACCACCAATCAGAGCAACTTTAGCTGCGAAAAAGCCTGCTTCTGAAACAACTGCCACCAAAACGACCACAAGGTACGACATTTTTGGGTCCTCTGTAATTTTATAGATATTCAAAGAAATGATCTGTATGTTTTGTAACTATAACTCTAACTTCACCAGACAAATCTACAATCGGAAAAACCTAAGCATTGAACAGCTTAGTTAAATAAAATTTTATATCTAATGAGCCATCGAACGTGGTCTTTTAATTTTGACAATAAACTTCATCGAACTGTACTCGTATAAGGAAAAATAAATCTGTAGTTGTGCAGCGTACGATGAACTGCTGATCCTCTTTTTTATTCCGAAAACTTCCGGCGTTTTTACCCTCTTCGATATTTTCTTAGATTTTCCAGTGGCGTAGATGAATTTCTTTCTCTCCAGATAATATGAACTAATTGTTTGGCGGCCATTATAAACTCGGGGTATAGCATTAGATGTAACAAATGCTTGCATTATGGCTGCAAATCTATCAATTAATGCCACCAAAGACTTTGAGAAAGAACTCGAGCGCCTCAATGGTAACACGTTCGTGTGTTTTGGATGTAATTGAACAAGTCCTTGTGCAGGTGCATCGGGTAATATGTCTGATAATGTTTGATGGGATAGTGAAGTATTTTGAGGATAAATTTGAGACACAAACTTCCATAATAATGGAGTAAAATCATAAATTAATGGAAAAGTTCGAGTAGAGAGTCTCGAAGATGAAATTGATTGCCTGAAAGCTACAGTAAATCGACTTCCCGTCAAACAATGCCAAACTCGAATCAGGATGAAATATTTGAGAAAGTACTGGACGAAACTTCAGAGAGGGAGAAAAGAAAAAAGAGTCTATTGATTGTTGGATAGATGAATCAAATGTCTGGTCTCAAGCAGACTGAATGTTAGTTGCAATATACAGTAGCGGACAAAAGTTTGGAAATAAATCTTAAAATTATTATGAACTATTTCATACAGCTAAATTAAAATTCTAAAGGAACAGCTAATATAAATATTAAAGTCTGCCTTTGACTCGCTTACTAATACAAGGTTTATCTTATCAATATCCAAATTATCTGAAAATAAAAACGCGTTTTTTAAATACCACAGTTTTTGTAACGATAAAAGCATGGAAATATTTCATTTTTCCGTATTTATTCGTTCTGTGATACTCTGATACTGCTTGCGGTAAATATTAACATAAGTGAGAATGGCAAAAGTCAAACATTTTCAAAAGATACAAGAGACACAGTAGTTGAATTATTTAGAATTGGTGTTAGAAATTTTGACATTTCTCAAAGATTAAAAATGAACAAAGCGACGATTTCGAAAATTATTAGTAAATATCAAGAATACGGATCAACAGCAACGCGGTCCAGCTGTCGCGGAAGACCGGAAAAAAACCGATTGTTTCGGCTCGCTACATTAAACGTTTGCCCCACGAACATCCTCGAATGCCAGCCACACAATTTTCAAAAGAATCGTAGAAAAGGGTGCCAAGAACAGTGCTGAGGCACTTGGTGGAGTTTGGTCTTTTTGGTAGGCGTTTAGTGCAAAAGCCTCTCATTTGAAAAAAAATCGTATTGCTCGGCTTGAGTTTGCTAAAACTCGTCTAACTTAGACAGAACAATGGGATATAGTCTTATGGAGCGATGAAAGCAAATTGAACTTACTTGGAGCTGACGGTATAGCATATGTGAGATGTCCAATGCGAAAAACATTCGTCAAAAAGTATCAGCTGCCAACAGTTAAGCACAGTGAAGGCAACATCATGGTTTTTAGCTGTTTTTCTAGTTCTGGAACGGGTCCAATTGTTAAAATTGGGGGCGAATGGATCAAAAACGTTACAAAGATATTCTTATTGAACACATGCTCCCTTTTGCTGAAGAAGAAATGCCTTTACGATGGATATTGCAGCAAGATTATCCCAAGCATACCTCAAAATTCGTAAAGGACTGGTTACGACTAAAAAATGTTAATGTTCTTACATGGCCTTCTGAATCCCCAGACCTAAACCCTATAGAACATGTCTGGGAATATGTTAAAAGACAACTGACAAGAAAAACTTCCAAACATAGGAACGATTTATTTGATTATGTAAAAATGTTTGTGTATTTGGCAAAATATCGCAACAGACGTCTGTAAAAAATTGGTGTCTTCTATGAGTAGCAGATGTCTGACAGTGTTGAATGCTCAAGGCTATGCTACCAAATATTAGCTAAACAGTGTTTTTTAAATCTTTTTGTAGAGTCATTGTATTTAATTTTGGAATACTTTTGTCGTGTCATGTTTGATCATAAAATAATATGAAGGTATTTTAATGCTGGTCAGTCAGTCCTCAAGACTGTAAGAAAACTATATAAGAAAAAATAGTCCTTAATAATAAAGAATAAATTAGCGCACTTTTTAAAATTTACTAAGAATGTTTCCAAACTTTTGTCCGCTACTGTCCACGTGGGCAGATACAGACCTAACAGTCAAAGACTAATTAAAATCTGTTTTGATGCCGATGATGTGCATGCCATCATACAAAGGTAAAGCTCTAAAGAACAGTATAGAATACAGCAGAGTTTCGCTTGGATACGATTGTACTCCTAAATGGCTTGAGAACTATAAGAAAGTTATACGCCATCTTGTAGAGCAGGATAAGTAACATTGCCAAAATGTAATTTATTTTGAAATCCCACTTCAAATAAAGTCAGGAAAACATAATAGTGCTTTTGTGATAAATCTAGCATGCCAAACAAATGACTATCTGGTAATTTCAAAGGCTCCCTAGGAAATTCTGCTCTTCAAAATATTTAAGGTTTGGCAATGTCAATGTATGACGTATTATACATTTTTAGAATCGGAATCAAAAACTATTCGTCGGTGCAAAAATCCGTCTATAATAAAAAATAAAGTTTATGCGGGAGAACAAGAGATGACACGTCATATTGCAGTTCTAATAATGAATATGGGAAAATTTGTTTTTTTCCGTCTCTCTCCGGAGGTACTTTGAATTTCGAAAGTTTCTAATAGACATTTGGTTGATTACCTAAATACTCAACTTTCCCCATTTAAGCGACTTCATATCTGTTGTAGTTTCCGCGATTCCTATGATGAGGGCCGAATTTGAAACACCCTGGATGTAGTTCTAGCATATTATTATGTACTTTGGGGTGAAACCCTCAACTACTAAATGTACTAAATTGTATCGACCAGTGAAACAAAGGATGTCTCAATAGATACTGGGATTTAAATTTAGCACCTTTTTTCAAGGATTTTGCTAGGAGGTTGCGCGACATGGTCACTCGATAGTAGTTGACATGTTATTGTCCCGTTCTGACCCCATTGTTCTGGGAGGAGGTTATATGGCGGATGTTTCTATAACATTATGATATTCTCTCAAAATTCTTCTTTGACTGAAAGCCACACTCCTCAAGTACCGTTTGGGCAGGATTTATTTTTGTCGGATTCAATGTTTAAAAAAGTGTTGTTATGGTTTCAGGCCTTCGATGACCGCCAGACCAGCAACCGCTGCCCCTAGAACGACGGCCAGTGCCCCGAAATCGGCCCCTAGACCTACGACTGCTCCTAAGGTTGCCGCCCCCCGAACCAATGGTACAACGACCTCTGCGGCTTCAAGGTTGAAGTTAACTACAACCAAAAAATCGCCTGTAACTTCCAAGACTGCTAGTACTGCAACTAAGGTAATCTTGTTTTTGTGTTTTGGTACTGATCAACATGATTAGTAAAATCTAATTTATGATCACTGGGCATTGCAAATATAATATGGACTATATAATATAGTAATTTTTATCACCATTTTTTTATTGATTGTATATCACTACCAATATTCGTCTTAATTTCATTTATAACTGTGTCCTGGTAAGGTATTATGGTATCTCTAGCAAAAACTATGAATTTACAAGTTACGTTTGAATTTATTTAATTATTATAAGGAATACTTGCAAGTAAGGTTGATGGGTAATCTTTCCTTTGAAGGTGGAAGTTTTTGGTTGAGAATAAATAATTTTCTTTAAGATGACAATACAGTTTGTTTTCATTACTTCTAAGGAAATTAACTGAAATCTGGCTTGGTAACATGGAAGAAACGATGGGAATAGCATGTGAATGTCCAAATAAAGCATATGATTAGACGTCTTCCCCGAGAATAGTTTAATCAATTATATTTCTGAGTAAACGCGTCTATTGGTACTTTTTTTCCACCAATTCAAAGAAAATTGTTAAGAGTGTTTACTTTCTTGTTTGTTGCAGATTTATTTAGCATTAATGCTACAATATCAGTGTATGTTACATAATATATTATGTCTTCAAGTCTACATGTTTTGTACAAAATTCCACTACTATGAATTCTGGTTTTCCAAAATAATTTTTCAATTCCCTTTAAACACTTACAAACTGGCACACATCTTGATATCATTACTGAATTTACTATATTCGTACAATCCTTTCTGAAATACTGATTTGTGTTATAATGGTGGTAAGTGAATTTTAGAATAACTGTGATACTCATTATTCATTTCAATAAAATTTTACAAGTGATTTTGCAGAAGATTTATTAACTTTAATATGAAATTGAAAACCAAGAAGGTTATGAAATTTTGGACATTTAACCATTGTAGTTCTTTCAGCAAAACATTTATTCTGGTATATTTATTTTTATTTGAGATGATTCTCATAGCTTTATTTTGTAATATTGTTTGAACAAAATAGTCGACAAATATAACAAATGAGGATGATAGTGTTTGAGACAATTTTTTAGAATAAACGGTTAGGCTATGCGAGATTCTATAAAAGTAATTTATCTTTTTGGATATTTTTGAAATAATATATTCATAGCGCCGTTCAAATTTTAATTTACTACATCAAGAGCCAACCTACACATTGTAGTATAAAATGGCTAGAAGACCTCGAATTTTCAAGCCGACATCTAACCACAACCACGCGGCCAGTTATAGCCACTTGCTGTGGTACTTCAAACCCAAAGGATCTACAAAGAGAAAATGATCATGCGGAGAAAGGTATATAACAAAAAATAGGAAAATAATGGGCAAAATCAGCACAAAGAAGGAAAGTGGATTCGAGCAGAAGATAGGATAGGTAACCCGAGCAATACGTATTTCTGCTTCTTGGCTTCATGTAGAGCTTTTGACCATATCTGCATAAGATTTACTGTTATTGCAGATGTATTCAGTTTATCTATTTTTCATATAGTTCTTTTATTAGTTTTTCTTCTTGTGATACATTCACCTCGTTTGCTTTTCCGCGAGCTTCAACCTCATGTTCATTGGTATCCATATGGTTCAACTCGATATTTACTTAAGAAAGAACTTGACCCAGAAAAGCTGAAAAGTAATGTCGCTAATACGTTTCAAAATTAAAAATCCGTAAAACTCCCAAAAAGTCGATTCGATCACTCGTCCCAAGTATTATTCAACTAATCTAGTTGTTTCGTTGGTGGGCACTGGCAGTAACTTTCACTTGAGTTAAATAAAATCACATATGTATTATGAATTGCGAAATGCGAAAAAATACATGTACACCTCAAGGGCATAATGTTGTTTGTCTTGTGAGGAAATCACATAAAACACAACAGTTTGGCCTGAGATGACCAATAGAAATTTAAATGCATTTGGAATTCAATAACTAAACCATACAAAAAATAATTAAAAATCTTATGGCTCACCAGTCGGTTTGAAGAATCACAAAATCTAATTTACTGCCTCTTAGTATTGTTTTTAATGATTATCTTTTGATTTTATTTTAAAATGTCGTTTCTTTATTTGGTAGACTGGTGCTAGCCTACCATTAAAGACGACATCATCGGCCCCAGCAAAGCCTGCCTTCACAACGTCCACAAAACCAAAACCGGCAAGTACTGCCGCTCCGGCAGCTCCTAAACCTAGGGTGCCGCTATCAAGGAGGCCCGCAACAGAGACAGACAAACAGAGCAAGGAGGCAGTGAATAAGGCTACGGCTGGTAGGACTACTGCTACTAGGACAGGAGTTACGGCACTTAGGAAGGTTGAGACCAAGGTAAGGAAACGATTGTATCATTGCTTATCTACAGTTTGTGACTCCGATGGTCTATCCCCTAATCATATTGCTATAAAACTACTAGTGCAATGCTGTTTATTGTGGAAAATCGGGCATCTGAGGAATGGTTGGTTCATCGTTTCTGACATACATCTATATTAGACAACCTTTAAAATGCCAAATGTCAGAGGCATTTATTAGGTGAATCTTGCAAATCTCTGTTTCATGCAGCATTTGTTAGTTTTACTTAAATCCTAGAGATACTAACAAAACAAAAGTGAGGCACAGGGCCGCCTGGGGTAGGTATTCCTACTCCCAAAAAGACCAGCTCTCAGAAGAGGCCAGCGAGTATGAGATTATGTCGTCTTGTATTGTATATCGTCCATCATCTCCAAAAGTCCTCTGAAAACGCGAAAGCCTACAACAGAACTGTTTTAACGCTCCGGTTAATTGTTATGCAATCTTGTATTGTATATCGTCCATCATCTCCAAAAGTCCTCTGAAAACGCGAAAGCCTACAACAGAACTGTTTTAACGCTCCGGTTAATTGTTATGCAATCTTCAACACAAGACATAGGGTAAAATATTACACAAAGAATAACAATTATTAATCAAAAATCACATCATTCATGGAAATAAAAGACAAACAGTGTGGTAGTTCCATATTGCCACTAAGACTACAGATTTGACGTAAAAACTAATAACGATCAGAACAGTATTCAGCTTCAAGTGTAATAGAGAAAAACAACTATAATGACAACATAAACAAACAATTATCACTACTCAAGAGCTAATCTAGAAAAAATGCTCGAAAATATCTCCATCATGTTGAATGCACAGCCGTAGTCTTTGGATGAATGACCGTTGCACATCCCTTATGTTTAGAAAAGCATCATTAATCATTTCCTTCATATTTTCCGGGGTAGATGGTGGATATCTATAAACCTCTTGCTTAACGTAGCCTCATAGAAAGACGTCTATCGGTGTCATATCTGGTGATCTAGGAGGACAAGATATAGGCCATGAGATGCTAGGAAACTATTTCATTGGGCTTCGCCCAAATCGAACACCATATTCACCATTTCTTCTTTAGAAAAATTCATTTTCAAACACGGTTTTAATAATAATACTCACAAAGCTAATTTTGACAGTTTGTAACTAATCAACAATTTATTTGTTTCCAAGGATGATGCGATATTTTGAGGAATTAAGCCGTTCCATAGAAGACGTGCTAATGACCGAAAAAATAGCCGTAGAAACCTTATGTGTCTAGTATAAAAAAAGCTTATGAAAAATTGAATCCAAATTTGCATAAATATACAGGGTGAGGCATTTGAAATTTTTGAGAAAAACTACAATTTGCTTTTTTGACCACCCTGTATGAGCAAAAATCAAAATTCGAGAAAGTGACAAATAAGATAAAAGCTGAGATGTGTAAGTTTTTTTTTGATACATAATTCAGCACTCCAAATGTTAAAATGGCAGACTGAGGGGTTGCCGAAGTGGGAGGGTTTTACTAGACAAAACACCTTATATCTCAGTAGCTAATTACCAAAACCCCATAGTATGTTATATCAATTTTCTTCTTTTGAATTGGTTTATCCAAATATGCAATAAAATTTGAGGCATTCTATTTGAAAAATCACAACTTTGATATGTAGGTCGAAATTGGGACACCCTGTGTAATGGCCAGCATTTTAAAAATGTGCCCTCAAATGTCATGTATAACATGCCATAAATAGATTTTCCCGAAATGTATTTGTTTATGAGTAATATTCCGCCCACACATGGATGGGCCACCTTGTATATACGAGTATATATATATGTAGTAAGTGACATATAAATCCGAACACCCAGTTTAAATGGTTTTATTTTAATAAAATTTTGTATAAGTACTTAATGAAGCATAATAAGTAAATGATAAAAATTTCAAAATGATTGCACTGCTTTAAAGCCCTTTGACCTTTAATAATGTGTGGATGCACCCTGATGTGCTACGCATTCTCCAACGCGCCTAGGCATGCTTCTGATCACTTGGTCAATGTCCTCCTGTGGTATATCATTCCAGGCAACCACCAACTCCTCTCGAAGTGCTTCTAGAGTCTGAGGAGGACGTTGCAAATTGAGCAATCTCCTACCCATCATATCCCACACGTGCTCAATTGGGGATAAGTCGGGAGATCTTGGTGGCCATGGTAACAATGTGACATCATTATGTTGAAAGAAGTCTATTGTGACTCTTGCAACATGTGGTCGGGCATTATCTTGTTGGAAAGTTGGATCTGCCAGGGTGTCAAGATAGGGTAAAAGATGGGGTTCTAGAACTTCGTGGATATAACGCTGTGCGTTCATGTTACCTCTGATGAAGATTAAAGGTGACCTGGAACCATAAGCTATAGCACCCCAAACCATAACTCCAACAGTGTGATGAACATGTCTTTCAACAAAAAACTGTGGATTCCTCCTTTCACCACGTCGCCTTCTAACCCTGGCACGACCATCGTGCATGCCTAAACAAAATCGAGACTCGTCACTAAAGACAATACTGTTAAATTCCTGATCCCAGAGTGACCGTTGTCTGCACCACTCAAGGCGATTACGTCGGTGTTCTCGAGTTAAAGGGAGGACCCAGTGTGGCCGGTATGAAAACAAGCCAAAACTTCTCATTCGTCGGTAAACACTTCGCATGCCAATAGGTCTTCCGTGTTCTGCAAACCATTCATTTGCAATGGACCTGGTAGTGGAGAAACGGTCCCTTAAGGCCAATAATCTTAGGCGGCGATCTTCACGGTCTGTTGTTCTACGGCGGCGTCCAGTGCCCCTTGCTCTTTGCGTACGGCCTTCTCGAAGCCATGCCTGACTTCTTTGCACTCTAACTGCAATTGCCCGAAAAGAAAGTCCAGCTTCCCGAAGTCGCACTATACGGCCCCTATCAAACTCACTAAGTTGACGAAATCGTACTGGCCTCCGTACTCTAGGCATCGTAACCCATCGTAAAGGATGTCAAGAACCAAAATCCGCCAACGTTGATTCTTTACTGAGGCTGAAATATTCATTTTTAGAGCGTTAGTCAATTAAAAAAAGCAGTATAAAAACCGGAATGTCCAACTGATAAGGCTGAAAATTTTTTCACTTGTTATTTACAGTAAGGTAAATACATTCACCAACTTTTATTAAAATAAAACCATTTAAACACGGTGTTCGGATTTATATGTCACTTAGTATATATATATATAGTATATATATATATAGTATATATATATATATACTATATATATATATATATATATATATATATACTATATATATATATAATATATATATATATATATATATATATATATATATATATATAATATATACAGGGTGACTTTGAAGTTGAGTCATTAATTTTCAGATAATGATTGTAGAAGGAAGATAAACCAAAATATGTGTGTAAAAATAAAAAAAAAAATAAAAAAAAATGTTACCTTGTTTAATAAAGTATCCTCCCGACAAGTATTTCAGTGCGGACCTGTATTTGATCATGCGGTCTTGGAGCAGCATGCCCTCACCTGTGAGGTCTTAAGTCACCTGATTCACGAGCCCTTTGTACTACATTAACAAAGGCACGAGGGGTTGGTTGCACTCGATTGGGAAACCGATTCGCATAAATCCGTGATGCATCCGGGAGCATTTTGTAAAGACTGCCCCCCCGTAAATAAGAGTCATGTCCACAAGTTCAGCATTTTCGTAAACATGTGCCATTTTTGATTTCGTTTGAACCACGCAACACACTACTATTCACTTACGCGTTATCGACTGACGAAAAACATCGTGATAAACGTTTCAAATTCTTTCGCTTTTTTGTTTCCGATGCGATGAACCGGTCAGGCGGATTATATCTGTTGTCGCCAAACACGAGCATATAATAGGCAGGGCGGTACTCAAACTTCCAAAGGGCTATAACTTTGTTACTTTAATTTTACCAGAAAAATGGTAAAGGAAAAAAACATTTCTTTTGATCAGATCTACTCACTGTTAAAATAAATGACACTTCGAAGTCACCCTGTATATATATATATATATATATATATATACATACCCTATTTCACGAGTATCCATCCCGGCAGAATGACAGTCGGTTATCTAGTAATATCTCAAATTTCCCCATATCGGCAGAGCGCACATAATTCTGACGGACCCGTCAATACTTGGTAGACAGAACCATATTTTGTCTTGATGTTCCGTACCCTTCAGATTCATTTTGTACTCGCCAAACGCTCTTTTATTTAGGAAAGTTTATTTGCAAACAAAAAAAAAACGCTACAAATAAGTTTTACTACGTTTACACCCGATTCATTATTGCCAACGTTGCACACTAACACAAAAATGTCACTTGCTCATCAGCTGTTCACCCCAGTAGACGATAAAGCGTAATGGATATTTGTGAAATAAGATATAATTGATATTCTCCAACCTAACTAATCCAGCATGAGTTTTTTATCCCGGTTTTTTCTTATCTCAAATGCGCATGTTTTTACATCGCCATCTCAAGGCCAAACGGACTTATATTACTTCCTTACAAGACAAACAACATGGTTACAAAGGGATATCTAAAGGCTAACGGAGTGCTATTTCTCGCAGTTCAGATCCATGAACAATGCACATGCAGCATTTTACTCGAAGATTGCTAAATAATTAACCGGTGTGTGACGACAACAGTTCTGGTTGCATTTTCGCGTTTTTTAATGATCTTCGGGACGATGGACGAGGGTGTCGTGTCTGGTAAATTAAAAACCATAGATAACCTCATGCTCGCTTGCCGCTTTGGTGGGCTGAATGTCCTTTTGGGAGTGGATATACCTACCCCAGGCGGTACTGGGCTTTGCTGGTTTTGCGCGGTACCATCTTAAAATTGCAATGATGGCAATCTCAGCATGTTACAAGTCCTAATGCAGCAAACATACTATAGGAATGTGAAGATGAAAGAAGAAGAAACGAATTTTCACCTGGAAGACAGATAAAATGATTTGTCGGTAGTGTCAATTGTACTAGAAAAGATCACCGTTGGGTCCGAAACGTCGTACAATAAAGAGGGATTTTAAATATATTCCGTTTGATTCTGACAGACGAACATGGAGATTTATCTATGATCACGTGATTTATTGTCATTAAATAAGCAATTGTAAAGGTGACAGGGACGATATAGTTGGACGTTCTTAATTTTTTGCGTTCTCGGACAATACAAACTTTTTTATGTTTCTTTTTATTTTTTTCCAGACGGCCACAACGACCCGAACCACAGTGATGAAATCGACCACGACCACTATGAAATCAAACGCTACCAAAAAACCAGCGGAAATAGTGCGAAACAAATCTGCTAAAACCACAACACAAAAAACAGAAATATCAGAGAAACCCGAAATGAACGGTATCACAGACAAAGCTCCAGAATCTCTTCAAGTAGTGCCCCAAACTCAGAATGAGGTTTTCAATACTGATAGTGAGTCACAGCTCGTTAAGGACAATTCCCCATCTATTGATAACAAAACCATTGAAAATACGCTGATCCAAACTAATACTGCAGACTGAACATTAACTTAAACCTAAAAATGTACACTCGGGTGCAAAAATCTACAGTTCGTCCTTTGACAAAAATGTGATCAAATATGAATTCAACTGATTACATTATGCGATAACGAATCAGAAAGTTAGATTGGACATCTTTAAGAATGAAAAAGGGCAAAGTACGCCTCTTTTTATTGCATATTTACGGAGCAAGAAGAAGCTAAACTCAATCAGGACGCCCAAAAAGTATGGACGAATTAAAATACATCCAATGTATTTCATAGAGAACATATAGTAGAAAAATTTGCAAGATTTAAGAGTCGTCTCTTGTGACCTTGAATGAGCTTCAATGTCATTTGAAGGTCAAGAAAATTTTTGACAACAGATGTGATCTTGAAGGTCATGGTCAAGGTATTTTTTTTTCAAACTTTACACCTTTGTTTTTCAACATTTTTGCTAACATACATGTTCTTCGTGATATTTTGATGTCTCCATACTTTTTGGATTTTCGTATTGATCATCTTTTGGTTGGTCGCTGGCTCCATTATATAATGAAAAAAAAGTTTTTTTGCACCTGACTGTACTGATTACGTTTATCAAATCACTGTTATATTTAAAACTTTTTTATATCTTTACGCCCCCCTAACTACTACGTGTGTATAGAGCTGTGGTAATATTAGTTATTAAAAAAATATTTAGTGGTGTGGATATCAAAGGACTACTACTGTATTAAAAATATTTCAAGTTTATACGATATTTATAACTGAAAAAAAAGTCTTTTTCTTAATGTGATGACATTGTAAAATGTTATGGCATTATAAAAAGAAAACGAATTTTTAGTTTGCTATATGGAGCACGTACTATGCGTGAATTAGCTGAAGTTTTGTTGCAAACTTTCTTTTTTTATGGTTTGTAATATTAGGAGAATATAACTTTTTCCGAAATATAAATCTAATAGGACCCAGCTTGAATCTGCTGAATTTTTCAGCTAAAACTTGTGAATTACTTAGGACTTTCTCTAATGAGAAATTATGACTTAATAATTTAAGTCGTAAGTTTTCCGTTTAAAGAAAAAAAATTAACTTATGAATATAGGTGTTTTCTAATTGAATGTCAATATTTTAGGAGGTGATTTGTGGGTTTACGCCGTAACTTTTGAGATACGGGCTTAAAGTTTTCAAAATAAATCATTTATTAGTATCTGTAAATACTACTTTAGATATTTTAACGAAATTTGACATATACGCACGATGTAAAAAGAGAGATTTTTTAAGTTTACACTTTTTTTGAATTCTCATTAGTGGCGTTTGTACGAAATTAAAAAAATTGTTCTTGAAATATCCAATCCTTTCCAAGCAAGCTTGATCGCTTGATATTTTCTATCCGGTGCACGGTTTTTGATTAGAAACTGAAATCCCGTTTCTCTGCATGATTATAACAATATCGTTTATATGACATCACCATGCAACGAAATTATTATTTTTTAGGTGAAAACTAACTATTTCAAAAGTTAAGACGTTTAAGATATACGTTCATATGGAGCCTACTCTCTAAAAATTGGGCCCAAAAATCGCTTCCCTAAAAATTGACATTCAAACAGCTCAAAATTGTAAAGTTCATAACGAGGTTTCTTTCAGTTTATCTGGCCTGAAAACCCAAATTTCGAGTTGGTTGCATCTATGCATTTAAACGTTTGTACTACATATGTGTTTTAGATTTTTATCATTTTTTAATTTGTTTTTTTTTTATTTTAGTACTTTAATCATTCTTCAAAAGCACAAGGTTCGCAATGCTGATTTGTTTTGTGAAAAACAGAAATGCTAAAATTGCGATCTTTGGGCTTTTAAAAAATCACGTACAAAAATAAAAAGAAAAATGTTAATGAAGTTCTAAGATTCTGAACTAATAAAGTGCAAAAGTTTCATAGATGCGATCATCTTAAAATTTCATCTATCTTCAGAGATGAAAAACCTCCTTATATTCTTCATCATTGCAAATCTAATAGCTTGTTTCATTTTATATCTGTCAAATTGTGAACGTGTTCCATATAAAAATAGCTTCTTATCGCTTAGGTGTGCTGATGTGATTGCTCGCACTGTATATATATATTTAAAACTTTATAATTCGTAAATTTTTATATATGGGTGCTAAATTTTATATTGGCCTTTTTAATACTATATGTTGCAAAAATTTATCTATTCATAAGTATATTCATAAGTTGGTCCGAATGATCGCATCTTTCTAAAAACTTTCTTGATTCGAAAACAATATTTTGACATCCTATGATTCACAATTTAGTAAGTAACTAAAAGTAATGGTTTTTCACGTTAACGCCGATTTGATGCGTATATTGAATTAATAAGTACCCAAAACAGCCGGTTCACTGTAGTTTTGATACATTTTTCTAAAACAAATATTTTTGAAAGATTTTGGTCCGTACGACCAACTTTATAACCAACTTTATAACAGTTACTGTCCATTTAAATCATATTAGCCGCATCGTTTTTTGTAACTTGTACTTTTAACTTATTTTTAAAACCGAATAGAAAGGTATTTTTAATATAGTTACACTACTTTTATTTTTTTTACTTAAGATTTTGTTTTAACGTTGAAATTTTATTATCGCGTTTGTCCTTAGTTTGCTATATTATTTATTATTTGTGAATCATACTACTTGCACAAAATAAACTGGAAAAAATACCAAAAAAGGTTTTATTTATCAAACCTACTATTTCATTCCATAGAAACACTTTCTTTAACCTTAAAATAATATTCTTTTGACTATACCCTATTTCACGAGTATCCATCATGGTAGAATGACAACCGATTATCTAGTAATATCTCAAAATTCCCCATATCGGCACAGGACTCATCATTCTGGCGGATCCGTCAGCGCCACGTAGACGAGCCGAATTTTTTTATACACTACAGATTCATTTTCCACTTGTCAACAACTCTTTTATTCAGAAAAGTTAATTTTCATACAAAAAACAAATAGTATATTCATATTAGCAAATTTCCCCGAAATAATTGTAACGTCTGGTGCAAGTTGTTCACGGGGGTATTTAAAACATGGGCGCATAAAATGTGGAAAAACTTTATTTCACAATAAAGAATGAGAAAACGTGTTTTTTGGGAGTCAATCGAAAGTGTTGACAGGAACGAAAAATCTTTTCATATAAGATTTTTAAGTATTTATGAGCCCTAGAAAATGAGATATCACGCAAAAAGATTCGACAATAGCAAATGTAATGGCTGAAAAACTCAGTAAAGTGCAGGTTTTGGCACTTGTTGGTAATGCGACTATAATTTCATGCAACTACTTGAAATTCTTCAGATCCGTAGGATTCATACTTCTAAATAACAACAAAGTTGGAGTATATACACCTGTTTTACGGCCATCACTACCAGTTTATTGAGCAATATACATGGTTCGTTCAAAGAGCATTTAATAGCAAGATATAGGTGTTTAGCTTGCCGGTATGAATCACAAACCATTCTGAAAGATAAATGTTATTTTTATGCGAAAAACGAAGGTTACGTTTTTTCTTCTAAACAAATTCAAACATTTCGTATTTGTGAGTAATTGAGCAAATGCACTACGATATTCGAAAAACATACGTTACTATACACATTTTTAAACAAAGCGGATGTGTCTATCATCTTTTGTTGCGAATTACTCACAAATACGAAATGTTTGAATTTGTGTAGAAAAAAAACATCCTTTTTTGCATAAAAATAACATTTATTTTCCGGAATGGTTCGCGATTCATATCGGCAACGTAAAGTAGCGAAAACAGGTGTTTTGGGATAAACAATTAGAAATTCTCAAAAACTACTTGACCAATCTACGCCAATTTTGTTGTGGTTATTTAGAAGTATGAATCCTACGAATTTGACGAATTTCAAGTATCTGCGGGAAACCATCGTCGCATTACCAACAAGTGCCATAACCTGCAGTTTGCCTCGGTTTGCGGCCATAACTTTTTTGCTATTAGTCGGATCTTTTTATGTGTGGTCTCATTTTGTAGGTCTCATAAATACCTAAAAATCTTATATAAAGAGTTTTTTTCGTTCCTGCCAACACTTTCGATTGAATCCCAAAAAAACCGTTTTCTCATTCTTTGTTGTCGAATAAAAAGTTTTCCCACAAAAATTGGTGTATCCATTTTATGCGTACCATGTTTTGAATACCCTCTTGAACAACTTGCAGCAATAAAACCATACTTTACAATTATTTTGCAAACCAGTGGTATTTTCGTGTAATATGATTAGACTAAAAGCGCCACAAAGTTTTACTAAGATTTATACCCGATCCATTATTACCAACGCTGCAGACTAATACAAAAATGTAATTTGCTGATCAGCTGTTCACCTCAGTAGACGTCAAAGTGTGACAGATATTCGAGAAATAGTGTATAATTACATTTTGCAAGGCTTGAGTCAGCGGCAGATATCTAGTTCATATTTCATAAAAATCCGAAAATCCATGTAAGTGTTGATTCGATGAAATAAAAGTCCGATAGATGGCGCTGCGAATACGTGGGCATCATACGCCTTATAGTTTCATACTACATAGCCTCCGATGAAAATTCAGTAAACGTACATGTTAAAAATAAAAAATCAACATGTAAGTATAGTAGTAAGCTACTGTAATGTATCATAAAGTACTTCAATATTACTTTTGATCCAATAATGGGGAGCATTTTAACTCGCTTCGCGGCAATTTAAATTTCTTGATCTTGGATGAAACTGTCGAAAATTGTACCGCCCAATCCACGACCAACCGCCTGTATCAAGATTCTCTTGACCTAGCTTTATGAGGCGCGTGATAACAAGGCTCTTGGTGCATATCGGGTTTTCCAATAGGGACTTGACAACTTTGAACTTTCACTGTGAACGCACCTTTAAATCAATTACCGAACTGTCAATGTCAAAACGTTCAGTAAAGAAAACATTTTCATCATGGTGAAGTACACGAACGAACAAATAATTAAAATTCACTGCCGAACTTCCGAGTCCAACACTTCAACTTTAAGAGCGTTAACTCCAATTTGATGTAAGAAAATGACCAATTTCATCGCAAAATCATCTTCAGTGACGATTCGCATTTTTGGCTAAACGGCTTCGTCAACAAACAGAATATGCGTTGTTGGTGTCAGTGTGCTTCAAGAAACATTACTTCATCCACAAAAAATAACTATTTGGTGTGGTTTTCATGCCGGTGGTGTCATTGGGCCGTTGTTTTTTCATTGATGAAATGACCGTCACGTTACAGTCAACGGAGATCGCTACAGACATGTTGCAACGTTATTTTTTTGGGCCATTGGATGGACTAGACATTAATGATATAATATGGTTTCAACAAGACGAAGCTACAATCCACATAGCGGGTGAAACAATCGACATATTGAAATCAAAATTCGGTGAACGTGTTATATCGAGAAATGGTCCTGTCAAATGGCCGCCTAGATCGTGTGATTTAACACTTCCAGACTTTTCTTGTGGGGCTACATTAAATCATTGATCTATGCCAACAAGTCGGCGTCGTTAGAGGAGCTCAGAGCCAGTATTGTACGAGATATAGCGGCCGTTTCTGTCGAAAAGTGTGGCCGAGTCATTGAAAATTGGGTTCAACGAATCGATCGCTGCGAACGTGCCCGTAGTTAACATATGAACGAGATCGAATTCCACACATAAATGTTTTAAGTATACTTCAATCCAATAATAAAATTTTCGAGATATGTCAAATGGTTTGCGTTTTACTTAAAAAGAAAGTTGTCAGGTCCTTATTGGAAAACCCTTTATCACGTTTTTGACATTGTAACACATAAACTAAACATGATGTTTGCGTCCGCAAATCTTTACAATTCCAAAAAATAGCAACTATGCGCGCTCTGCAGTGGTCGATACCGGTGATGGCGGTTTGCGCTAGTCTTATTTTAACATATTTAAAAAACATTTAAATAATGCATATTTACGGTGTATATCCAAAAATTATCGCATAAAACTTACCTTTATCCTTCATTAAATATATCGGACTTCACAAAAAAGATAATCTACATAAGTGACAACTATCGGACGGCAGCAAAACTAAACGAATTGTCAACCAAAAAGGGTCGATCTCCTTATTACTGTGATGTACTCAATTTTGTAGGTAGGGATGTGTATAAGAACAGAAGCGCGAAATAGATAGTAATAATGTATTGACATTATTTTATACAGCGTCAAAATCCACAGGTTGACATTCTTCCTCATCAAAATCAAAGTATTTTAAGTCATCGTTGTAATACAAAAACACACTTGGTACGTAGTAAGTCTGAGGCATCCCAAGCTCTGTGAAGAGGTCCCTTTCATCTGGGATACCGTTTTCTTCCATCGTTTTGTTCATGTTGATGTTTTTGCTCATGTATCTGTGACAAAAGATCGGTATCAAATGAATACGTCGTGTGCAAGTTTTACTTCAAGTCGATCATCAGTTTGATGCTTTTAGGATCTAGGGAGTTCCAGCGATCAGTTTTGTCGAATTCGCTCCTATGATTTTTTAACATCATATTCATCTTCAGCACCTCCAATTTTACAATCGTGCCAATCTTTATGTAACAACGGAAAACGAAAATGGGAATTTTGCACTATGAAATATTTTGAGGCTATGAAATTAATGAAAGAATTTTCAAAACAACCTGCGCATCTGTAATATATGCCTGTTTATGGCTTCACGGGCTTGAAGGCTTCGAAAATTGTTTTGCTCTGCATGACACATATATATTAATATACAGGAGGTTAAAAAAATTTATGTTGCCATCATCTGAGAAAATATTGCCTAAACAAAGAAATGGTGATCATAATAGTTACAGGTTTTTGAGAGAACAATTTAATAGTGATGATCATATCCTTCAAGGTCATTTGATGATCAAGAACTTTAAAGGTAACAATATATTTTTGAATCTATCAATGGAAATACCGGAAAATTTCTCGTTCAAAAATGACCTTAGGAATTGCATTGATCACGATTTAAAAAGCAAACTCTGACCTAGAAATGCCAAGCTCAAGGTCATGCTTATTATGTAAACGTTATGGTTAAGAAAATCATCTTCATTGATCGAGTCAAAAAGTATGGTTCTATTTAAATTTTTCAAGTGGTCTAAGTTACCACAAACGGTCACCATGAGGTTTTTCTCTCAAAAGCCTATAACTTTTGTCTTTGAGCAGACTTTTCTCAGATAGGGAGGGATCGAAACGTTTTTGAATGTATTACGAAGAAATAGTGCCTCCAGGTGTAGCTATCAGCGTCACTGTTGAATATCGAATATCTTTCTTGAATCCTGTAGAAAGTGTCTTCACAGCAAACATTTATCATCACCTCTTTAGCAAAGGGACAAATCATGTTGATGATTCGTATAGGGCGAACCCGTTTCGTCAGAAGTCCAACCTGGTATCTAGAACAAGTATAAAAAATCACGACTTTGCCGACCCTGGACATCAACACAAAAAACAATAAAATTTTACATGTCTAACCTTTCGTTAGAAGATAGGAGCGATATTTTTTGAGGATCTACTATTTTTCAATGATCTCTTGTTTGTATTCTCAACTTACTTGTCATCATGCCACCAAGGTTTGCCATCCAATGGTCTCCATTCTGTCGAAGGCACCTGGACTGGTACGTCAGGAATAGGGCCATGAGGACAATAGGGCACCTTGCATCCAGTCTCGGGATGCACGTAGTACTGGATATCGCCTGTCTTCTCGTCGAACCAATGGCTAATGTCTTTACCTTAAAAGACATACGACATTTCGCAAATGTAGTGGCAAAAAGAATCTCTGACAAAAATGAAGAGCTTGACACCCAAAAAAAGGTATCATAATCATGGGCTTGCACTCCTGACTTTTCGCCTACAGACAAGGAAGTAATCGCCAAAAATTTCGAAAATGAGATTTTATCTTTTTTGGATGTTATATGGTCGGCCTGCCCGGTAATCCTATGCTTCTTTTATAGTTTTGACGTTTCATAGGACCCTGACCATTTTTGAAAAACCCTTTAGGGGTAAAACATTGAGGGATGGAGGTAGTAGACGGTAGCGGAGGGTGTAACGCAATTTTTTACGCATATTATAAACTTCTAGGTCCAGTAATTCTAATTTGCCGTTAAGACTGGTAGAAATATTTTGTATATAAAGTGCATTATACCCCATTCGTAGTCCATTTACGCCCAGACAAAACACAACATGCCCAAAAGCGAGATTGTACAGGTTCGTATTTTCCTCAATGGTCTTAAATTAATCTAACAAAATAAATGATTATTTTTATAGAAAGAAGTGCACATACTTTTCACAATTGTTTATTCGTTGGATTTACTTGAATCATCAATTATTACAGGTTCAATTTGGATATCGATCATATTGTCCAGATCCCACATCTTTGTTTCGATTGGTTTGCCGTCACTCTGTTCATAGATCAAATTTTTCACGTTACAAAATTTGAATGTTCTATTGTTTGAAGCCACATAGTTTTTTTATATTTGACCAAATCATTTCAATGGGATTAATTCGCAGTGATAAGGGGGTAGCCTTAAAACGGTCTTATTTTGGTTTTTAGCCATTTCATCAATAACATTAAGAATATATTTATATTTTTGCTGCCTGACTAGATGGATAAGTTCTGCTGTGACCATATTTCCATTGAACCTAATTCATGTCTTTTGATAGGAGCCACTATTAAATTTCTGCTTCTCTTGTGTACATTGTGGGAATTTTTTCTAGTTTTCTAGTGTGGTATGCATCATTGTCAAGTACAACGACGGCATTGTCGTCAAGCTTTGGGAGCGTTTCTTCAAACCATCGTTCAAATGAACTCCCGTCCATTTCTTCATGGTAGTCGGTTGTTCTCTTTGACTCAAATGCTCATAGGAGAATGGGCACAAAGCCATCTTTACTGCCAATGTTACAGATAACAAATCGTTTTATAGTAGTATTTAAGAAAACTAATGATAATACAAGCAGAGTATCTAACAGGTGTTTTTTCCAAATCTACTAGATATAGCTAAGCTTAGTGTGATTCAGTCTACTTGACACCATTTTTACAACACAAATGACGAATTGGTTAGATACTCGTACCTGACGGATCCTTCAGGCCAATGGTTAGACCATCTAAGAAGGCTTGTCTTGCTGATTTAATTGTAGAGTCAGCCCATACCTTAGGTTTTGTATGTCCTGCATTTATCCAGGTTTCATTCAAGTAATACATTTTCCTGCCCTGGTTGCGGTATTTCTTTATTGATTTTAAATAATTTCAGTCTCCATAAAATAATCTCTTGGCTGTCCATCAAAATACTATTTTTGCCCCGTTTTCTATACTCAAAATGAAGTTTTTTAAGTAACTAAAGAATAGTGGTCCTTTTGAGCGTAGGTAAGTCTTCATCACTAGTTACCTCCTGTAATACTTCGTCTATGGTGGGAAGTTCCTGCCTTTCAAAAGATCGATGGACTTTGCGTTTGATGGCATTCCGCCCAAGGTTATCAAAAATTGTCTTAGGACATAAGCCTGTTTTGTTCGCCAGACGTCTTTCAATATCATGCATTTTCATTTCAGGATGCTCTAAAATTTCGCTCTGATAAACGTTAAGCACAATTTCTTTTGCCTGAATATTCAAATGTCCCTTCTTGTCACGTTTTCGGGGAGGAGATATCAGTGAAGAGGAAGCTTGGCTGAAGGAAGCATTGGAAGAAAAATATTCTTAGTTTCATCTGCTGTATCCGCAGACGACATGCTAATGTATAAATAAACACACGCTATGTATACACCGAATATAAACAGCTACTGCCGGCGTCGGCGTGCAGGCGATACCCCGAGTTTGACTTCTATCCTATCGAATCCTGCACTTGATCGTAGTTTTATGGACGAATGACCATTAGCTATTGCAACGGTTAGGGTATATTCATAGCGAAGATGCTTACTTCGCCGCGACCTTCGCTTCCTCGTGGTCGACCACGCGGAAGTACATATATTTTGTTTTTACCTCGCTGTCAGGAGGGAAACATCGGTGTGGGCTTAGCTGTGATTGGTTCCTCAGCAAGAATTGGATTAGTGTGCAAGTTGATGTACTTGCGGTCGAGCAGTAGAGGCTCAACTTTGTCGAGTATGTAATCAACTATATCTGTCGACATTCTCATGTAGGAGTGGAATCTTTCCTTGTCTCTCTTCAATTCGATTTGGTAAACATCCACCACTTGGTTACTAGAGATAAATCGACAACTCGACAACATCCTGCCTTATTATTCGCTCGTGAACAAATGAAACATTAAGAACCGCATTCGAGGAGAGAAGAGAAAACATCGAGGGTGAAATCAGTATGAACACCCTCCATCGAGGTAGTGAAGAAAGCATCACAGTAAGTATATTTCACTATGCACGTACCCTAAGGTATAGCCGCTGTCCGGTCTCGCGACCCACGCGACGAATTTACCTGAATAGCTGAGAAAAGGTCAACGATGCCTGGGGGATGTATTTGCAATTGTCTCTAACACGGCAATATGAGTTATTGAACTAAATAATCAGATATACGACTTCAAAGTTGAGTCATTTATTTTAACAGTGAGTAAATCTGATCAAAAGAAATGTTTTTTCCCTATAACATTTTTCTGGTAAAATTAAAGTAACAAAGTTATAGCCCTTTAGAAGTTTGAGTACCGCCATGTCTCAATAATAATATTATGTGCTCGTGTTTGGCAACAACGGATATAATCCGCCTTATCGGTTCATCGCATCGGAAACAAAAAAGCGAAAGAATTTGAAACGCTTATCACGATGTTTTTACTACAATTTTATTCACTTGTATTCAGTCAATGTGTCAGTCGGTAACGCGTGAGTGTTTGTTTCGTGGCTCAAACGAAATAAAAAATGGCACATGTTTACGAAAATGCTGAACTTGTGGACATGAGTCTTTACAAATGCTGCCGCGGCATCACGGATTTATGCGGATCGGTTTTCCAATCGAGTGCAACCAACCCCTCGTGCCTTTGTTAATGTAGTACAAAGGGCTCGTCAATCAGGTGAGTTAAGACCACACAGGGGAGAGCATGCCGGTGCTCCAAGACCGCACGATCAAATAGAACTAGAAGAACAAATTTTAGAATTAGTAAATGATGATCCAACACTAAGCCAACTCAATTGGCGATTAGTCAATATAAAACTTGGAAAACTCTACGTGAAAATCAGTTCTATCCGTTTCACATACAAAAAGTGAAGGCCTTACAACCGGAAGATCATGAACAAAGGGTTGACTTTTGCAATTGGCTTTTAAATAAACATCAAAATGATGACAATTTTTTAAATCAAATTTTAGTGAGTGATGAAGCCCTCTTTACTAGAAACGGAATTATTAATTCACGTAATTCTCACGTTTAGGCTATTTAAAATCCCCACTGAAATAAGGGAAACCAATTTTCAACAGCGATTTGAACCAATCAACCTGTGGGCTGGAATTGTTATTGGAATTTTAGTGGGGCCTTTTGAATTACCAAATCGCTTAACTGGTGAAAATTATCTTGATTTCTTGCAACACAATTTGCCTGGTTTACTGGAAGATGTGCCTTTAAATATTAGACAAAACATGTGGTTGTACTAGATGGGGCACAACCCATATGCAAGAATGTGCGTGAATTTTTAAATAGACAATTTAATAATCGTTGGATCGGCCGTGGCGGTTTTGTACCTTGGCCGCCAAAGTCTCCGGACTTAAATCCTTTAGACTTTTGTTTGTGGGGTTGGCTAAAATCTCTAGTGTATAAAACACCGGTTAATACACGCGAAGAATTACGTACTCGAATTGAGGAAATGGGTACAGTGATCAGAAATCAACCAGTGATTTTATTGCGAGCTTGTAAAGAGACATGGCTAAGACGCGCCCAGCTCTGCGTCGAGCAAAACGGAAATCATTTCGAACAGTTTTTGTGACATGCTTTTGGGCGCACAGGTCCGCACTGAAATACTTGTCGGGAGGATACTTTATAAAACAAGGTAACATTTTTTTAATTTTTTTTTTGTTTTTACACACACATATTTTGGTTTATCTTCCTTCTACAATTATTGTCTGAAAATTAATGACTCAACTTCAAAGTCACAATGTATTGACAACAACTATTTTTTGTACCTTTTCCTCAAGCATATAGTACCAGGGCGTACGAAAGTTATCTTTGATTATTTATAAAAACTTCACAATACTTTTTCTCCAACCATAGCTGACTAAACCTAGCAGAATGTAAGAAAGTTGATTCCGATACTATGCAGTCACACATAATATTCAAAGCCAGATAATTTTCAAATGAACAATGCTTTTTTCCAGTGATATTCATTCGACTTCTGACCTTATGCCAGGGTTTTCATAGCCAGCTAACAACAAAGAGTCAATCTACTTCACGCCATTTTACTTCCTATGCCACTGTGTGAGAAAGTATTGTTTTTTTTTGTTCTGTTATTGGCACTGGTCGATGACCAACTGGCCAGATCGCGAAAATATTCGAAAATGAGATGTTTTTTGGATGTTATATGACGAAAAACCATGTCACTCATTTCCGTCATTCTGTCTGTCGATCTGCCTGCCTGTCTGTCGGTCTTGTCTGTCTGTCGGTCTGTCGGGTAATCCTTTTCCCCTCTATAAAACTTGGAAACTGCTATTCGAACTTAAATGAAATTTTTACAGACGCTTATTACCACGCTAAAGACGAAAAGTTTTTGAAAATCGATCCAGTGGCGGCGGAGAAAACGTTAAAAATAAAAATCACTGGAACGTCGTTTTTTGACATTCCAGGGGATCCTGATCATTGTTGAAAAAACTTCTAGGGGTAATAAATTAGGGGGTGTAGAAGGTGGAAAGTCATATCGCGATTTTTTTATGTTAGTATACTTGTACGCTGAAAATCGCTGAAAATTGTACGCAGCTATTAGCCATATTTCACACATTATAGATTTCCTCATACACGTGTCTTTAAAAATTGATAGAGGAATGCTTTCGATACGCGTCTCCTGCTATATGCTATATGAGCTCAGCGCCCGGCGTAACGATCTGCGTGATTGTTCAGCTCGTACTACGGCGGTACTTCAGTGGGCGCTGCCGCGTCTGACGATATGGAAAGGGGCAACCTTGCCAGTTGGACGATAACTACCAGTAGGGCAGGGTAAAAATGTATGGATGGTCCATAGGGTTGTACATCTTGAGACTATTTTTTTTTTCTCAGAGGGCTTAAGTCGTGCTGAACTTAATCGTTTATGACCTGATGGCGGCGTTGCGTTGGAAGTGCAGAGTTAAACTACTTGACGCCAATTTTTCGTAACGTAATACATGGTCACTAATGCTAATTCTATGCTGCTATACTGAGGTTGCCGTTACCTGCCATCGCCAATAAGGGACGGATACATCTTTTGTTCATATATTCCTTTATCAAAGGCGTAATGTCGAATACCTTTCCCAGGAAGGACACCCAGCAGTCGTTCGGTTTGTTGTGAATCACCACCTCGAAGGGCGCGTAATAGGGCCAATTAGACATTTTATAAAAAAGAAAAAAAGTGTAAAAAAGTATACAAAGGCCGATGACAACGTTATCAGAAAAGTGTGAAGTGACGTTAGTTCTCAGACTTTATCGACATAAAAGAAAAAATAGGCAGACGGTTCTGTCTATGTTTAGACAGGCGATTTTGACTGAAGATCTATCATACAGGGTGTCCCATAACCTGTCATAACTGGGCTCTTGTTTTGGCCAACGACTTCGAATAGACTAGAGAGACCCAAGCCTACATGTTTATTCGAATTCCATTGATCTCACATCCATCGAAGTTGCAAAGATTAATCATTTATTGCATTGTATAATTTATTTGTAAAAAATGGATCTTTTTACATACAAGGTTTGTACGGAAAGTAATAGTACTGAGTCGATTTAAAAGAATTTATTGAGTCAATCGTTACAATTCTTTAAAAACTTTCAAAATAGACTACTTCTGCGTCGATGCAGCGATTTCCAAGCATTGAAGGCGTCACGGAAGGCATTCTCCGGAATAGCCTTGAGAGCCGCGGTGCATGCTGCTTGGATCCCCTCTGTCGTCTCAAAATGCTTGCATTTCATCGGCCTTTTCAGGCGAGGAAACAAAAAAATTCCGGGGGGCTACATCTGGGCTGTAGGGCGGCGTTGGGATGCCGGCCTTGGTCAGGTAGCTGCTCACAAGAAAGGTGGTGTGAGCCGGGGCGTGGTGCAACTTCCAGTCGGCTGCGATGTCTTGTCAGATCCGACTGACCCTTCGTTTCAGTCTCCTGAGCACTTCCACGTAAAACTTGGCGTTGACGGTTTGTCCAAGAGGAACAATTTCATGGAGGACGATGCCCTTGATGTCAAAAAAGACAATGAGCATCGTTTTCATTTTGGATTTGGCCATTCTTCCCTTTTTTGGGCGAGGAGACGCCGTCGCGTGCCGCTCGGAAGATTTCCTCTTTGTCTGGGGATCATACTCAAAGATCGATGACTCGTCACCTGTGATTAGGTTATTCAAAAATTGAGGGTCACTTTCACACATGTTCAAATTTTCTTGGCACACTTCCACTCGCCGCAATTTCTGGTCGTCAGTGAGCACTTTTGGGACTATCTTCGCGCACACCTTGCGCATGTTCAAATGCTGTGTCACAATGTCCTGAACCACAGATTTTGGTAAATTTAACATCCGGGCAATGAAACGAATACTTAGTCGACGGTCTGAGTTCAAAACTGTGCGCACACGAGTCACATTATCGGTGTTTGTCGAAGTCGAAGGTCTTCCAGCACGGTCTTCATCAGCGACTTCTTACCGGCTCTCCAAAAAGGCCTGGTACTACCGAAACACACCACTTCTTGCTAAAGCAACACCTGGGTAAGTCTGCTTGATCATATCAAACGTCTCTGTCGCAGATTTGGCGCGTTTCACACAGAATTTAATCGCGTACCTCTGCTCTAACGAACGCTGCATTTTCGGCTTGCACCACTCACAGAAACACGTCGCGCGAAAACGCCTGTCCTGACTCTCCAAGTGCTCGGAGACAACTGGCCAGCCGCTCATTCGTTAGCTAGGAACGCCCTCTACCGAATCCAGTCGGTGCGCGCACGCTCCGAAGTACAGTCATGGCGAAAGGAAATGAGTCATATTACTTTCCGGACAAACCCTGTATATTTTTCTTTAGCTCTGACGTTGCAACCGGGAAAGCTGTAGAAGCACCATCAGCAATTATAACGATTGTGATGGTATGCAGGTCATTGTTCATCCTTACGATTGTCAGTTATCGAAATTGTGTGATGGCTACTACAATGGTACAATCCTCACTGTTATCTTAAACCGTATGGCCAATACCAAGTCTTTTTAGATTAACACTAAAAGCTGCGCTTTCGCATTCATGTAGTGCGGTCGATCGTTGACTATAAATACGTTAAGCAATAGAAAAACTGAAATCACCTAAAGGATTCTCCAGTAGGGACAAAAAATTTATTGAATTGAAATGCGCAGGTATGCATCATGTATCAACATGTAATGTGTCATCTGTGAATTTTTAATGATTCTGCAAGATCCTACTGATGTTGAGCGATGGTCTGGGTGATGTTGACTATGAAGCTAGATTGCAACTTACTGGTAAAGACTTGCGGCTCCAGAGAACCTCACAAAAAAACTCTAATCGAGTCAAATAATACGATCTTGGTGGCCAGTGCATGTCACTTCTCCGAGAGATATCCCTTAGACCAGAGTTCCCCAAACTTTTTTGTGTCGTAGACCCCTTGCCATGTTTTTCCGTGTTGGGTAGACCCCCTACTTACCTGATATTGATTTCCTGTAAATTCCTGTAGTAAACTGTAGTGAAGTTTAGTGTTAAAAACTTAAAGTAAAAACACATGTTAATTTATACATTTATTAATTGAGTTTAAATTAAAACTACTGAAAATAAAATTTTGTATCTGTTATGTAAAATATACGTAACATTAAATAAACAGGTGTCTGACCAATAAGTGCCCGCATTGGGAATAAGTGCCCGCATTGAAAAAAAAATAAGAGGGATAAAATAAAAAAAAGTGAAAAATCTGATAAAATAAAAATTACAATTTTACGAACTGGCGTAACTTAGATAAGCCATAAGCTGCCAAATGATATGATGTATATTTTATAGTTTCACAAAATTGGCGTAACTTGAGTTAAGCTCCCTCGTGAAATTAAATTTCCTATTAAAGTGAGATAAGTCTAATATTATTTTTCTATAACTATGAAGGTATTAGAAACTGACTTAGAAGAGCAACCTTTTTTAAGTAATAAAATCGACTTAACTCAATTTTCGTATTTTCTGAGATTCGCCACTTCGTGTTGTTGACGACGATCTATGCACTGCCGTTTCCTTCCGCTACAGTATACAACTTACAGCTTAGACCCACAATAATGCCATTTCTGAAGCAGATGTTACATCACATCAGAGCCAAACATTGACAGCAGAAGCATCATGACGTTTAGGCAACACGTACAGCTACGGAACGAGTACACAACAAGTATTCAACAGCTAGTGGTAAGTTGAGATCTTGTAGAAAAAAATACATAATATCAAATAACTGATTTAATGTCACTGTTCAAGATACGTAAAATACCCAGACTTGAAAATGTATCCAACATCGATTTGTTGCACGTCTGTATGTGTGTCTGTTCTCGGTAGCTCACCAGGTGAGGCGAAGTGAAGTCGAGTGTAGTGCCTCTATTAAAAGCACTACCTCATTTACAATACAATTATAGTACCGACGGACGGCAACCAACAGAACGAGATGGTTACTAAAGATATGAAAAGCCTGCTATATGGTCTGCAGTGATCGACAGTGCGTGCCTTTTCTGCGTCAACTACTAAACAGGCAAATACGCAATCACTCCAAGTCAAGCAGTATCGCACAGCAGTCCTCTATTACGTGAATCAGCACACTACACAGTCGAGCAAGTTCGCAAATTGGGTCCAATTAAATTATTTTAGCAAAAAATCTCAAAATTAGCATTTTGGATCAATTTTTATCTTTCCAAGTTCTAACTATCTATCATTGCTGACAGACCCTTCGAGCCAGTCGCACGCACTTATCTGGGCTTTTCCCCTTCGTTGCTTTCTTCTTCCCTTTTTTATTCCCGACTTTGTCTGGCATCTGAGCGACTAAACCTGACACATGCTGACGTACAGTATCTTAACCAAGAACAAAGGTTCTTCTGACCACTCTAGGGCGAATGTCACACGATCAGGATTTACTATGGTCAATTCTGGTATCAGATGGCGAATTTGTCTTATTTTCAATCAATCAATATGTTACTCCCAGGACTATTACAAATACGTACAAAAAGTATGGGAAGAAGAGTCATATAAGGACAAAACGGTTCAAATTATATGCAATGATGATAAAGTTTACTCAATAAGGCAAGAAACAATTAAAAAACAACTGAAAAAGAATAGATCTCATACCTCGGATAGAGTATAGTTGCTATGCTTTCGTTCGTTGAAAACCTGAAACCAAGCCTAGACCATGCTGATCAGTTGCTGAAAAGCACGCAAAAGCTGTCCATGATTGGCTGTCTATGGTCGGATGGACGACATAACATAAGCAGTGTGTTTAAATACTGATCGTGTCACATTCGCGTAACAGAGTATGAAATCAAAGTCAACCTACGTAAAATTATTTTTCATTCTTGTGTATTTAAAGTACTTAACCATTATCTGTATACCTTAAAACCATAATTGAGCATCAGAAACAGACCTTTATATGATGTGTTCCACAATAAATAAAAAAATAAAAATCGCTCAAGCTTCATTTCTTGACGTTTTGGACGATCCTGATCATTTTCGGAAAAAATAGGGGTTAAAAATTGGGAGGCTCGAGGTTGCAGGTGGTGGGAGAGGGTGTATCTCAATTTCTGTGACGTCGGTGTATTTATACATCTCCAACCCCAGTAGTTCTACGCACATATTGTCATATTTCACTCATGATACATGCCCCCGTACATTTATCCTTAATTAGAAATAAGGTCTACAACCGGGTATCGAATCGATACGTGCGAAGTCGACTCTCGATGGATAAGCGTCGTCGTCGGTGGTTGTGCGTCAGAATCGGCAATAGCTTTCTCAGTGGTGTGGATTGCATGCACTGTGCATCATGAAGGCTAATATCGCCATTCACACAGGATTGGTCATCGCAACGATCATCTGCGCCTGCAGCAATTCTTCTAAGGGGGAGGATTAACGTCATTTAATTTTTTGTTGTACTTGTTCGTAGCTAACTTTTTTCTCAGAAGAGTTAACTTGGGCTATACATAATCCGGTACGAATTGATGACAGCGTAGCGTGGGAAGGACAGATTCATCTTACTTGACGCCATTTTTCATTTAGCAAAATGCTTCATTTTGTTATAAGTGCCCAATTTCCTTCGCAGAACAATAGCTCAGGGCAGAATTGCGACCCGCGGTTTCCGTTTCTTCCTTTCTTGAATTCTGCCTTGGTCTGCTAAACATATCACCACTTAATGGAATGTGTGGTTATTAAACCCACATGCCAGTTGCACTGTTGGGTGCCTCCAAACAGGGGCGGCACTTGGCCGGCACCAGTAACCTTTTAGATTTACGAAATTAGTTATAGATGTCGTAGCTTCTTAGAGAATTGACTTCTTAGCTAAGAAACTGGTCACTTAG